TCCTATTCTCTAAAACTGAAAATTTATTTTCAATTATTATATAAATTAAGCATTCTGTTAAATCCTGATAAATATAAATTTAAAAAAAAAAATGTAAATTTTATGTAAAATTTTAAAGCGCAATTCTAATAGTTATTAAAAAGCTCTTCATTCTCACTTTTAAAATACATAGAATCAGTTCAGAATTAAGATATTCATTTTATTCATTAAATTTTATTTTATTCTATGTTAGATTATTTAACTTTAAAAAAACAAATATTCATCGATTTTTTAAATTCGTTGAAAATTAATGCTGTAGACTTTGTAAGATATTCCAAATAATTAAAAAGATATGTTTCAATGTTATTTTTTCAAAAAAAATTATTGGGCCTTTTAAATTGATAAATTCTGATGAAATCTTTAATTTATTTTTATTGATCAAAATAATCCAATTAAAAAGATATGTTTAACATAAATTGAAAAGGCTATAAATCAAAACTCAATAATTAATCTATTTGCAGTCTATTTTAATTAATTTCTAAATTAATAAACTCTTAGCCATTTTAAAAAGTAATCGATAAAGCAAGTTTATGATATTTTAATAATAATAACAAACAACATAAAATATTAAAAAAAATAAAAAATATGAGAAATATCATTTTCTTAACTTTATCAGCTTTGTGTTTAAGTGCAGTTGTTGCTTAAGATTCAAATCAAGAAATATTAATATCTAGAGGGCTAGTTAATTATACTGATGCAGATCTTCTAAGTATTTACTAATCTTATGGATACGAGCCTGATCCAAGTAGCGAAAGGTTTTAGCTTTTTAAAAGTAGATTAGCTAAGATAATTGAACATAACTCTAATCCTGATAAAAAATACAGTTAAAAAATCAACAAACTTACTTTCTAGACTGGTTCAGAACTAAAGAAGTTTAGAGCTTCATAAAATTGCTCAGCTACTGCTTAAGCAAACACCCGTTCATTCAGAAAATATGACTTGAGTTAACTCCCTTAATATGTTGATTGGAGAGAGAAAGGAGTTGTAACTTAGGTTAAGAATTAAGGTGAAGGTAAAACTAATTTTAATATATTTTTATATTATAAATGTATTAATATTTATGTAATAATATTAGATTGTGGTTCATGCTGGGCATTTGCAGCTGTTGCAGCTCTTGAATCTCATTATGCTTTAAAAACTGGTAAAAAGCCAATTTAATTTTCTGAGTAGCAACTTGTTGATTGTGCTAGAAAATTTGATACCCAAGGTTGTGATGGTGGATTACCTTCCAAAGGTTTTGAATATTTAGCTTATGCTGGAGGAATTTAAAGTAATTTACTTTAATTTAATTTAGGAATTATTTATTTAATTTAAGATATTAATAATTTTATATATTTTTTATATAAATATTTTATTATATTAGCTGAAGCTGATTATCCTTATGAAGGAAAGGATAAAAAATGCAGATTTAATAGCTCAAAGGCTGTAGCTTAGGTCGAAAAATCCTTTAATATAACATTTTAAGATGAGAATGAATTGATTTATCATTTAGCTAACTATGGTCCAGTTGCAATAGCTTATGAAGTTAATGATGATTTTGATAACTATAAAGATGGTGTATTTACAAGTTCTAATTGCTCTACTGATCCAGAAGATGTTAATCATGCAGTTCTTGCAGTTGGCTACAATATGACAGGTAAGTACTTCATAGTTAAAAATAGCTGGGGTAAAGATTGGGGAATGAATGGTTACTTCTATATCGAACTTGGATCAAATATGTGTGGATTAGCAGATTGTGCAAGCTATCCTATTATTGATGAAGACGATGATGATAATGATGATGATGATGAAGCCGACAAACATGATTGAAGGATGATTTTGAAGAAAATATAATTAATAAGCCAAAAATTTACTTAAACAAATAAAAAATAAAAATATAATTAATTGATGAATAAATAAATATGTTTTTATATTTATGAAAACTTGTATGGCTTTTAAATTTTTTGATTAATCTTTAAATTTATTTTATCATGCTAATTCAGACAAAATTTCTATTTAATAAATTTTAGATGTTTAATATCAAATTAAATTTTATAGTTTTTTTTAATTAATACCCACCTGCCCTTTTCAAATTTTTTCAATAAATCTTGCTATATTCTCACCTACATAAATATTAACCATTAATACATATTATAAATGTTTAATTAATGATTTTTTATAAAAAAAAAATTAAATCTAGATACTAATTACACTCCAACTTCATCTCAAATGACTGATTTTACTTCAGCAGCAAATAAATTAATACCCACATGTAGTAATTATCATTTAGTAAATCCTACATCAAAAACAAGCTAGCTTAAATTCTAATTATTAAATTAACATAAGTTAAATTATCGATGATTTAATATATCAAATAGATTAATAACCGATATTTATTTATAATTTTCAACATTTTAAAAATAGGAATAATTGATTTACAAAATATAATCCCATAAAAATGACTTAAAATTTAATTGTTCACCCAAAAATCAAGAGAGACAAAAAGGCTGAAAATTAATAATAGATATTTTAAAAGTACTTCAGATAAAAGAAAATTGAATGTAAAATATAAATTATATATAAATGAGGATGGGTTGATTTTAATTATTACAAAAAGTCAAATTTTTTTATATTTTATGTAAATAAATATGAAGGAGAAAGAAAGATTTCATTTCTGATGAAAATACTTCAAAAAATAAGAAAACCTTAATTTTCATCATTTTTACATTTTAAAAATCACTTAATATAAATTTTATATGAATTATAAGCATTCACCCATCTATACCCATCTATGGTGAGTTGAATGAAGTTTTGAAAATAGTGGAAGATATATAAGGGTTAAAAATATTTGTTTTGGTTTTAATTTCCCAAAATAAAAGAAATTATGTGATAACATAAATAGGTGCAAATATATAAAAATAAAAAAATTATGTTTAATTAACTAACTTTCATAAATTTTAGATTTTAAAATTAAATACTTCAGGAAAAAGTGTAAAATTATATTAACTATTTTTATTAAAAAATTTATATAATTAAATAATAGAAAATTATGTAATAAAAAAAGTATGATAGAATTTAATTATATATTATTAATAAATGTTTTAAATTTTTATTTGTTTGCAAAATGAATGACTAGAAATAAAATTAAATAATGCTTGAAAATAAATACATATTTCAAATAATATAATTAGATTTAAAGTAGTTTTAAATAATAAAATACTCACTTTATTTATAAATTTAAATAATTTTAGTAAATTATTAACAAAATCTTTTTAATGTAAATTTAGTAACACTTTTTTTCTAAATATAATGAAGTAGAATAGTTTTTATTCATAAATTTTAATGATTATAATTAATCATTTAAAGTCTATTAAATTTGTAAATACTATCATTTATCAGATTTGTAGACCTAAAAAGTTATAAAATTAAACAATAAAAGAATTTTCAAATACTTTTATTAAATTATTAAATGAAATTTTCCTTTTTCACAAAAAATAAGTCTTTATAATTGAATCTGATGTTTTCTATTTGTTAATCAAAAAATTGATTAAATTTTGTCAATTTATGTATACTTTTTTGTTTTTTTCTATTCTAATAATTAAAAGCGAGTAAATATATAATCTCTACCACAAAAATGATGAGCTTATAAGATTTGTATATTTCATTACAAGATCTATTTTATAAAAGATTATATTAAGTTTTGCATGAAACACTTTAAATTTCCCAATTTTTCTTGAAGGCAATTATAAAATAAAATAAATTTGGATATTTAATTTAATTGATAATTAGAAAATCTAAAGAAATTAAATAAATGAGGAAATTCATAGCTGTGATTCTTTTAGCTCTGTCTATTGCTGGCTCTTTTGCTTAAGATTTAGACTACAAATAGTAGTACTATGAGAGCTTACTAAATGCTACGGACTCTGAACTCTTGAAATTATTTGGGTCATACGGATTCTACCCTAACTAAAACAGTGAGAGATTTTAGCTATTTAAAAAAAGGGTAGCTAAAATTGCTGAACATAATTTGAATCCTAATAAGAAATACACTCAAAAAATCAGTAAATTTACATTCTACACAAACGAAGAAATATCTAAGTTGAAGGGTTCTCAAAATTGCTCTGCTACAGCAAAAGAAAATACTCGTATCCTTTAAACTTATGATCTTAGTGAAATTCCTGATTACGTTGACTGGAGAGAGAAAGGTATCGTTTCTTCTGTTAAAGACTAAGATGCTGTTGGAGGTAAATTAATTATAAATAATATAATAATATTTTGTGAATTAAAACTTGATATAATTTCTTTAATAGTTTAAAAATTAACTTAAAATTTATATATAATTTAGATGACTGTGGTTCCTGCTGGACATTTTCTGCAACTGGAGCTATAGAATCTCACTTAGCTTTAAAAACTGGAAAAGCACCTTTTAATCTTTCATAGTAATAATTAGTTGACTGTGCAGGAAAATTTGATAATCAAGGATGTGATGGTGGTTTACCTTCAAGAGCATTCGAATATATTGCTTATGCAGGTGGTATTGAAAGTAAGATTTTTATATAGATTTGCTCTAAAAAAATATATTTTATTATTCTATTTCAATAAATTTTGAATAATTTTTAAATTAATAATCTTAACTAACTTAAAAATTACTTAATAAAGGTAGTCGCGATTATCCTTATAAAGGAAAAGACGGTAAATGCAAATTCAAACCTTAAAAAGTTGTAGCAAAAGTATAAAGCTCTTTCAACATTACTTTCTAAGATGAAAACGAGTTGATTTATCATTTAGCAAAGAATGGACCAGTTTCTATTGCCTATCAAGTCACTGATGATTTCGAAAATTATGAAGGAGGAATCTATTCTAATCCTGAATGTTCTACTGACCCTCAAGAAGTTAACCATGCTGTATTAGCTGTAGGATATAATTTGACTGGTCGCTACTACATCGTCAAGAATAGTTGGGGTAAAGATTGGGGCATGGATGGTTATTTCTACATAGAGCTTGGCTCAAATATGTGTGGTTTAGCTGATTGTGCTAGTTATCCTATCCTTGGTGATCAAATCATTGACTCTTAAGAAGAAGCTGATATTGATGATGAAGTTGATGATGAAGCTGATAGCGATGATGAAGATGACGAAGATGATGATGAAGATAGTGAAGATGATGATGAAGATAGTGAAGATGATGATGAAGATAGTGAAGATGATGATGAAGATAGTGAAGAAGAAGATGATGATAGTGAGTCAGATAATGAAGACAGAATAAGAATTAACAATCATCAATAGAATTTCATCAATAAGATGAATCATTAGATATGAATTAAAATAAATCTAAGATATTGATTTTAAAGTTATATATAAAATTTATATTAAATTGTTTTTTTTAAAAGTAAAAAATATTTTCAAGAAAAAAAAATCTTTAATATCTTTTTTTAATCATAACTCTACTAAATATAGTTGTTATTATTTTTAATTATGTATTTTTTAATTTCTAAATTAATAATTTTTACTTATTTTATAAGTTTTTGTTTTCAACAAATCTGCTTTTTGCTTATAAAAAATAAAGCAACTCATATTAATGATTTATTTTTTATTTTTCTAATTATCAACTTTTATTTTGCATAATTTAAAATTAATTAAACACAAAAAAATTACAAATGTTTTTTAATTTGAAATAATTTTTTTAAACTTCTTTTGAAGTATCTTTAAATTGGTAATGATTATTAAATCTTCTGAATATTTTAACAATATAAAATAGGGAAAAAATCATAAAATAAAATCAAATAAATTTATATAAATCAACAAAGAATATTTTTTAGATATTTAATAGATAATAAATAAATTAAGGATTTATAGAAGTATTATAAATAATCATAATGTATAGCTGTTCATAACTATTGAAATAAAGTGCTACATTTCCTGATTTAGCTATTTATAAACTTATAAAATAATTTAAATAAAATGATAATTTATTGTAAATTTTACTTTGAATATTTTAGATATCATTTAACAACTCATATTCCATAATGTTTTCTTTGATTTCCCTCATTAATTACTAAGTTCTGAGCACTAAAATATTATAAATTTATTATGACAACTTTATCTGGGATGCTTTTAATACTGTTTCTATTAATCTAAGACCTATGACAAGCTCTTTTGATAAACAGTTTTACAATTTTATCAGGTTGTATATGTCTTACTCAATTGATCCTAATAAGTTTTTATCTTAAAAGTTATTATCCCTATTTAACTTACTAATAGCATCTGCAAGTTTTTCATAAGAGTACAAAAAATTTAGGTGCTTTCTTATAACTTAAGTATGAATGTAATACTTATTGATAATACAAGATTTTTTTTCCAAGCAATCTACAATAGACTTTAAATCAACATCACATCTCTAAAATAATAAATTTACAATAAGCTCTCTCAAATATTTATAATTCTCTTCAATTTTTTTTAATTGAGAGCCTGTTAATACTTTTTAGAAATCTTCATTTTATGGAGGACATTCTTCAATTTAGAAATCAGCTAATTAAATATAAAATTCAAGAGCTTTATCGTATTAATTTTATTGCAATAAGCTCATAGCTTTAGCAGATATTTAGCTTTTAACACTTTCATTTAGTATAGGATCTTTTTCTTTTTACACATCTTAGACTATTTAAGCAAAGTTACTCACAGTGTTGCTTTTAGAGACCAACAAATCTTCAAATATTTAGCTGTGATTCAGTTTCTTATCTATAATATCAACTCTCTGTACAAAATTGTTGATGTAAATGCTCATTAATTGATAGTCAAAAATATCATTTTAAAGATATTATAAAAACTTAAACTAAATTTCTTCCCTAAAATTCTATTTATATTCAAAATTATTAATTTATTATTTTTTAAAATATATTTTAAATATTTTGTAAAATTAAAAAAATAAAAAAGATTTTAAGAAGAAATTTTATTTCTATTTATTAAATGTGCTTGATTTTGATAAAAGGTATTCCTTTTTTTATATTTTGAAGATTAGTTTTATTAAATTTAAAGTGATAAATAATAATAGATTTATCTTTATTGAAACAAATAAATGCTATTCTTTCAAATTATAATTATTTTTTGCATTGAGATATTTAGTTTATTGAAAAATTAAGAAGAAGTAAAGCAGATTAAGATTAAATATTTTACTCTCTATAGTTAATCGTATGTGGGAGTATAGTCATCAAAAGTGAATTCAGCAACTTGTAAGATATCTATCAAATGGAAAAAATAGAAAGGATGAAGAATGCCCTAAGCTTTCTGAATACTAGCATAGCAGTCTAATTGAGTAATCAAATAGAAAAACATTTGTTAAACGTGATCCCCGCTCTTTTCAATTTGATGCTAATAGCTAAAATTAATATTTAATGATATTTTTATTCATCAAATTAATATTTAATAATATTTTTCTGAATGAAATAAATATTTTACCATTCATGAATTTAAGTTTTGAGCTAGTCTATTGTGAATATAGGGTTAGCAAAAAGTATATAAAAAATAACAAAAGTCATCCAATCTTATTAGCAGAAGGTGTGTATAAACTGAATGTTGCCACTAAGCACTTGCAAAAAGAAATAAAGTTCACTCTAAGGATTAACATTTTTACTTATTTCTTATCTAATTATTATTAAAATTAATTTAAAAATCATTTATTTTAATATAATTTTTACATTCTTTATTTAAACTCTTCATGTCTTCTAATAAATTCTTGCTTTGGGATAAGTCTAGCATCTTGGCCTTTAAAAAAATATTTCTTCATTTTTAAAGCATCCTTTTTTATATTAAAAGGTTTATTTAGATATTTCAAAAATATATTCACTAAAACTATTACAATTATGTTGAGTATTATCCTTTTTTCGTATCCTTTTTAGTCTTCTAACAGGCAAATAACTTGGCTTATATTCAGATTTTTTAAGAAATGATAAATTTAGCTCCAAACATCAAACGTAAGGATTTCTTGATTTATTGTTGGATTAGTTGAGTCTTGGTATAAATTAAGTAATCTAACAATCATTTCTGATTTTGAAAAATCTATTTTCTTGAGCTTTGATCTTTGCTTTTCTATCTTTAGATTCTTAATAAAGTCATAGTATATTAAGCTTATCTATTATATTAAAAGAATTCTTAGTAAGCAAATCAATCAATTACATATATTTACTATTGTATAATTCAAGTGTTACTAAGTCCATTAATTTTAGATGCCTATTTATAAGTATCTTTTAAATGTGTCTATGTATTAATCTAATGCTTATACAGAAATATCTTGATACTGTTCCATAAATTCTTTTTCACTTGCATACTTGCTATTATTTATTTATTTATATTCAAGAAAAGATTATAGCAAGAATAAGATATTTTTAAATACGTTTGTTAGTTTGTTGAAATCATTTTTATTTCTTCTGATTTTACTTTAATGAAATTCTCATCTATTTTTTATCTTTGATTGTGGAAATTTTAGAATATTTCGCTGAAATCTTTGACCATCTGTTAAGTAATATTAAATCTTTATGAAACAATAATAAAAAGAAGCTTCAAATAAAAAACAAATTTTAAACTAAAGTTTATTAAAAAGATAATAACTAAATACATCTCTAAATGATGGTGGAATAATATCTGAGAAATATAAATTAACTGCCTATCCCTTTTTACTTTTTGTACTATTGAAACTATTATTTTGGTCATAAACAAATAATTCATTATCTACTCCCCAGCAAAATAGCACAGGATTCTAATTATTTTAGATAGAATTTTTATTAACAAATAAGTTATTGTTTTCAGGTATCATATGAGCCTAGCTATATACTATATAATGCTATTAGGATTATACTTAAAGCGTAAATTATTTTATTTTATATTATTTAGAAATAAAGCTAAATAAACCTTTTATTATTAGAATCTTTTCAAATTAATATTTAAACTTAAAATTAGTCACAAAAAAAAAAAAAGATTAAAATTTAATTAAAATTGCTTTTAAGACACTAAGCTATAAATAAAATATTAGCTAGCTACATCAATTTTATTTCATACTATTTGTAAATTAGAATTAAAATATTAGTTAGATTGAAGCTACAAATTAAAAGATTTTAAATTTTAATTTGACTAATTATAAAAATATTTTTTTATTCAATCTATATTAATACTTTAATTAAATTGAGTAGTTAGTTTAAATTGCATTTTATTATCAAAAATAAAGATTGAGCCTTAATAAACAGAGATAAATTATCAAATAATGAATACATTTATTTATAGTTATTAATATATAATACAATTTTTAATTTGATATTTATTACTAATCACTTTATTTTATTGAAATTAATTCATTCATCTTTCATTTCTTCGCTTTAATCATCATCATCACCATCTTCTTCTTCTCCTTCGATTTCTTCTTCTTCATCATCATCATCCTCTTCTCCATTTTCGGCTTCTATATCATCATCATTAGCTTCTTTTATATCTTTATTTATATCATTAGCTAATCTTTCCTTATATTATTCATTAGTTTCTTAAATAACTTTAACTTCTATTTCCTTATTAACTTCTTCTATGGCTTATGCGTCTATATTTTCTTCTCCGATTTTAGATGCTTCAATTTTATTTTTATTCATTTCCTCATCAGGTTTATAATCAGGAGGGAAGTTGAAGTAAGGAATTACACCTCTTTACCAATCCATAATAACAATTTTTGCAACTGTTATAATATCAGGTTCACCACCCTATTTTAATAAGTAAAATTTAAATATCTTAATAAATAAACCTTAAAATATTTAAAATCTAAATTTGATTGCATTTTGAAAAAAAAATTTTACTAAAATTTTAATTTGGATATTAATTTAAAATAAATAAAATAGGATAAAGTAATATATGTAAAGTAATTGAAGTATATATTTTAATTAATTAATTAATAAACTATAAAAATTTACCTTTTTAAGTTTACCCTTTTTGACTGCTAATTTTTCTAAGAAATCTTAGTCATCTTCCCATTCATTTACACCATAAGTTTTTTTAATGTGGATAGGATTTGTTTTTTAAAGAATAACATGGATATAGAAAGTAGGATCATCAATTTTTTCAGCACGAATACAACCCTTAAGTACGACTTCTGTATCATCACGACCATCGTGATAGTAAACAACACCAGGACAATCGATAAGATAAATTCTTTTAGTTAAAGTGATATATTACCAAACACGAGTTTCACCAGGAATGGGAGCACTTTTACAGACCTTCTTTTGCTTCAATGAGTTAATAATTGAAGACTTACCAACATTAGGATAACCAATAAAACCAACAGAAATGTGTTTCTTATCTTTGTGGATGTTATCATATTATCTCAACAAGTTAATAAGAGAACCTTTACCAAAAGGATTATTCAAAGAAGCATGATATGCAATAGTGGGGAATTCCTTATTCAAATATCTTAACCATTTTGTCTATTATAAAAATAACAAAAATTAGTAAAATTTTAAAAATTAATTATTTAAGTTGCTATTTAAAAATAATATTTTGTATGTTTTTTTATTTTTTTCAATAGCTCAATTTGCTTAAAATTTAATTATTTACTGTCAACCAAGTAGGAATCAAATCACACTTATTCATAACAAAAACTAAATGCTTATATGGGCAGTTCTTCTTAATGTGTTCTTCTACGTGCTTTGAACGAGTACCCATAGGATTTCTGGCATCCAAAATTTAAACTATAACATCAGAGGCATCAAGTACTTTATATAATTCTTCCCAAATTCTTCTAGATTGACCAGCTTCCATACGTCTATCTCTGCATTCGTTCTTAAAGTCTAGCATCTATTTAAAAGGAGGACATTAACTTATTTTGCTTAATTAAATTTATTTTATTTTACTTAGTGCTTAGTTAAATCTTAATCCTTCTTAGGATCATATTTTTGATCATTTTCCTCTACTTATTATATTAAATCTTCATATGAGTAAGATGTTGATTTAACTCTCTTTCTACTGGCCTTAGGTCCAAAAGTTTCCTATTTATAACAAAATATCATTCATTTAACACTTTTACTTGATAAAATTATATTCTAGTAATCTTTAAAAAGGGAAGTTAGTTGATAGAACAATTTCATCTCCCTTATAAGAATAAAAGCTTAATAAAAAATCTTTAAAACTTTACTTCATATTTTTCAATATCTAAGATGTTCATTTTAGTTTCGTTATTGGCATCTGTAAGAAGAGAAATGGGGAGTTTTTTAGATTTGACTAAAACATGACGGGGATCATTAGATTTTTATTACATTTCAACTCTAAATCTTTCTAAACTCTTTTAATCGATAGTTCTAACAGGACCGAACCACTTTCTATCAGGTTCAATTCTAGAGGGACCTGAAGGCTATTTTCTCATAGCTTCACTATTTAAAAATAATAAGAAAATGGATTTAAAAACGATAGCTAAAGCAAAGAAATCATAAAAAGAATAGAGATCATATTTAGAATATCTATTAAAAATATTTTAACTAAATTAAAATATAAATTAATTACTAATCAGGCTTGTCCTTGTACATATTCAAACGCTTAATAGCATTTTTAGTACGGACGTGAGTCCATTTACCTTCACCCATTCCTGGTAACTTTCTATTAGGATTATCTGAGTTATTAGACTTAGATGGCTTCTTTTAGTTAGATTGCCACTTCTTTTACATTTTTTCAGCGTGCTTGACACTCTTTGAAACTTTTTTAACCATTTATAAATACTTTGTTTGCTATATAATTGAATGTTTTATTAATATTTCTTGCAATTATTGCTACTATCAATATATTAAATTTTTAATCTATTTATAAATCCTTATTAACCGATATTATATATTCAATTTTGATATTGTTAATTTGAGCAAATTTTATTAACTCTTCTTACAAACTCAATGAAAGTTAATTAATTTTTGCAAAAATTTTAATTTTACGGCTAAATTTGTTAACTACTTCATCGATTAAATTCACCCCTTAAATCAAATATTTGTATCTTGCTTGATAGCGCATTCAAAATCTATTCATTATTTCTACCTTTGTTTGCTAATTAATAATTCTTTCTTTCATTTTACTGCTACTTATTCCTTATTTCTATTTCTAATTATTATCTAAAATTATATTTTTATTCCTCAACAAAATCTATTTTATTTATTAATTTTCAATAAAATTAAATTTGTAAAAAATTAATTTGTAATTTTAAATATTCAACAAAATACAAATTAATTATTTAATATCAATAAATTTAAATTTTTATTCATAATTTTCTTATGAAAATTAGTTTGTTTTATTTAATTTAATTTGATAATTTTTATCTAGCTCTACTACTTTTATTTAATAAGGCTGGTAATATTGTTAAAATTATTTTCAAATTAAATTTTTAATTTTTGTTCCTCATTAAAAATATATAAAAAAGAATAATATCATCTATAAAATAAATGAAAAAATAATCTAAGTTAAAGAAATTTAGAAAATAAATTTAAATATTAATTTTTTTTCATAATCATTATTTAAGTTAATAAGCAAATATTAAAAGACTTACATTTGTATAAATATATAATCAACTACTGAGATAACTTGATTTTGCTATTATAAATTTGCAATCATTAAACTATTTATATTATTGATTATGAAACCTTCTACTAATATTAAGAAAAGTGAATTTCTGATAAAATATATTTTTTATATGACTATAAAATTTTGAAACAAAATGAAAAACAATTATTTAATACACTTTACATTTTATTTAAAGTTAATTTAAATTTAAAAATATAGTTGTGTTATAAATGATTTTATTTAAACATAAATGGGTTTTTTAATTTTTTTATTGAGAAGTATCGAGTATATATACATATTTTAATCATAAAATATTTATATGACTTTATATATTGTAAAATACCTTATTGAATATACATTTCAAAATATTTTGATTAATTTAATATTTAAAAAATAAAAATATTAAAATAACTAATTATTGAGTTTTATTTATTTAAATTTCTTTGTTGAAAAAGTTTTAAACACACATTTTAATCTAATAAAACAAAACATGAAAAGTTAATATTAAAAAAAAGGATATAACAAAAAAATAAAAATAAAATAAATTTATATCATTCAAATTTTAATAAAATTAACTAAAGAAAGCTAATATTAAAATTAATATTGCTTACAAATATTTTTGAATTTATTTGATTAAGTTATTAATTTGAAGAGAAATATAATATTTTTAAATATTGCTTTGTGATAATCCTTAGACAGAATTAAAAATTAGCATTTTTAAAATATCTTTTGAATTAGAAGAGAAGAAAAATAGACTAAATAATTTCTTCTTTTCTTCTTTTTATTTTCTCGATATGTTCTAATTAATTTTGAGAAAATTAATGTTTTTTAAAAAAAACAATTGGAGAGAAATTTAATAACTTTATGTAAATCTAATTTTTTGTTTTTGTTTTGATTTTTTGGTTCTATAAACTCAGTTTCATACATTTATTAAAATTCGTATTTTTTGTTTTTCATAATATTTCTATGTTTATTTAGCAATGCCTTTATCGATTAATCAAAATTTCCTCTTTATTTTTCTATAGATTAATACTTTTATAAACTTTGATATCTAATAAATCAAGGCTTGATTGATAAATTAAACTATTAGCATTTCAAAAACACCATTTGTATATCACTTAATAATATAATTATTCATTTAAATATAATCAAGCTTCAAATTATTTTTGAATCTACTTTTTAAATAGATCTTGTTACATTTTTTTGGAATAAAGAAATAACTCAAAGTTGAATTCAAATAATAAAAATAAATTACAATACATAACTTTATAAAAAATTTCATTTATAGCTAAGAAATAGAATAATTATAACTGAAATTTAATAGTTGAATAAGGTGAGATTGATATATATAAAATAAATAAACAAAAGAAGTGATTGAATAGTACTCAAAGAGTGTTTTTATTTATATAGAAAGGATTAAGTCAACCAAATCTTGGAGAATTTGAGTAAATTTGGTTGTGGATTACTAATAGCGATGTTAGTTATTAGAAGGGTTTTCATATCGTTTTAACAAAAATATGATCGATTATTTTGTAGTTTTTGAAAGGTTTATTGCGTTTTCATTATAATAAAATGAAATGTTAATTGAAAGCATCAGCGTTGTTATTATTGTTGTCAATCATATTTTCTTTACCACATTATTGATAGTTATTGTTATTGTTGCAGAAATATTAGTTTTCTTAATTTTATTATTCATTGTCTGCTTCTAAAAAGTCATCGAATAACTCTTATGAATGTTGGCTTGAGTTGTTATCAAAATCAAAATCAATTTAAATTTCATTATCATTAAAATCAATAGCATTGCTTGCTTACTAAACAGTTTGTCCGTTAGCATTATTAGAATTTAAACCATCTAATTATTCTTCAAATGTTGTTTGATTTTCAGAGAAATTTTGTTAACTATATTAAGAAACTTGATTTGAAGTATCACATGATTATATAGATTGTTCATAATTAAAGTATTCTTTTAAAGTTTAAGAGTTTTTCACTAGATCACAAGCCAAATTGTATGAGATATTGCCTTAATTCTCTTGGAGAAACTATTTCAAGCGCTTTTAGCAGCTTTTGAAATTCATTCTAAGAATATCCATGACACTAATTTATCCTAAAATGAAATTGATCTTCCCACTGTTCTCAGAAAGTAAAAGCTGAGATTTAATAAGTTGAATATCAAGTTACAAACAAGGAATGTAGTTATCAATATTTAAGTTAAATGTTTAGAATATCTTTATTCTCCAGTCATTTATGCACTGAATCATAGAGAATTAGCTATCTAAAAACTATTAGCCCTAGTTCTCGGCATTAAAAAATGTTTCTTAACTTATGATTTGCATGAGAGAAGGAAAATATTTGAAGTTTTGTAGAGTTTAAAGGTAGTTAAAAGGTAGATGTTGAAGAAAAAAGAATATTTTAGAATTCTTTGTATTTTTCTTTTTTTTTTCTTTTTTTATTTAATTAATTAATTCTTATTTAGATTGATTTCTCTGATATTTCTATTCAAAAAATCTTTGAATTGACCAATTAATTATAATAAATAAATCTCCACAAAAAAAGCAAAGTGTAAATAGAATCAAATTTTATTTTATATAATTTGTTATAATTGCATCATTACAGACACTCGAAAGAAGAAAAAAAAACAAAAGCAATCGATTTATAATTTTATATTTTTATTTTTCTTGATGTTGTCTATTCTTCATTTTGAAAAATGTAATTTACAAAAAGACGTACAAAGCAATATTTAAAGTCTATTCAAACAAAATCAGAAAACGATTTTTAAACTTATAAAAACAGCATTTTTAAACCATTTTATGAACTTAAAATTGAGCTAAATTATTTTTTTCTGAGTTTTTTGATACAATTCAAACATTTCAATCAAAATAATAAACAAATAAATTTACAGTGTTTGAATAAAAAAATGAGTAAGTGATTAAAATATGGAGAAAACTGATAATTATCGTTATTCTAAATTTTAACTTACTTATTGGCTTGGATAATATAATTTTTCTATATTTTTATGTAACATCATTTACTTAATACTGTATTTGCCTAAATAAGAACTCACAAAAAAAACAAGCCCTTTTATTTTGAATTATTTTTCTAAATTTCTAAAACCAAATAATTTCTTTCTCGAAGACTTCTAATTTTCTTATCTGATTATTTCTAGCTTGGCTTTCCTCTACAATAATTATCTGATAATTTATTAAAATATTTCTTTCAAAGCCAAAAATCTCTTTTCAATAAAACTAAACACTTGGAACTTCATTAATTACTGAAATTGAGGCTTTTAAATGCAAATTTAATTTTATTAAATATTAATGAAAAACCCATTTTTCCGCTTAATACCACAAAATTTGATATCATAGCATCTATTTACAATATATAATTTAATTATTATTCAAACTAATTGTTATTTTTTTTTGCGCTTACTCACTGATCTCTCAAATTAAGGCTAATAAATTAAATTTCCCATTAATCTGAGAGTAATAATAGCTCTGATATTATTATTAGAAATGATAAAATCTAATTCAAATTTAAAATGATATTTTAAAAAGTAATAGACTAAAAAATGGTTTTAAATGAAATTTTCATCATTTAATAATAAAAATTTGAAGGAAAATTAGAAAAATTATTGAAATATGAAACAAAACAATTTATTTAAAAAATATATACATACTATTTTAGTTGTATGTATAAAATATATATTTAAATAAATATAGAAATTTCGAAATCGAGCGTATTTTATTAGTAAATATAGTTTAATTTACTTTATCAAAAAAAATTTTGATATTGTAAGACTGAAATCAATATTTTGTAATTTACTAATTATTTCTGATTTAATTTCAAGTAAATAAACACTAATAATGATTACATATATTTCATTTAAAATGATGTGAGAGTTTTGAAGCTACATTTTATACTTTCTTTAAGAGTAATTTGCTCAAAATTTATTAACTATTAAATGTTTCATATCATATTGCTAATAATATTTTGATTTGATGGTTTGGATTATTTAAAACTTAGTACTAGAAGTTTCAGTCAATATCTAAACATTTTTCATGAATATTAAATATTTTGAAATTTTATATTTTTAGCACATTTTAACTTTAGTAGTTGCTTTAATATCTTGGTTCTATAAAAAATTGTTTTTCTAAAAAGAGATAGACAATCCTTATGTATTTAAGTCAAAAATAATACAGATTAGATCTATCCATTTATTTTATTCCATTCTAGAAACTTCCCATTAATCAATTAATATGTTGTTCATTAATTTATTAAACAAAATCTCTGATAAGATTATTTAAATTTCAAAATTTTCTATTCTTAATTTGAAATTTCTAAATACTGCTGTTATTAAATATGGGACTTAAACAATGTTTACAATCTTTGGAAAAAAATATTTCTAGCTATTTATAACTGAAAAACACAATGTTTTATTTAAAATTTTTTTTCTACCTTTCTATTTCTTCAGATGAAATTTTGATTACTTTTATTTACTTTATTAATTTAAATAAAAAACAAAATACATTTATCTATTTCATATAAATTTAAAAATTGTAAACAATATATTTTAATAACAATATTTTATATTCTGATATTGATATTTTTAGAAAATCATTTAATAAACAGATTTCAAAATACCAAACTAAATTATTTAAATTTCTACTTTTTGTAACTTTATTTATTTGCATGAATATAAATTTTAATTTAATATAAATCATTTTGCATAAATAAAAATAATAAAATTCATTGATTATTTTTTAAAAATTAATAAAACTGCATATTTTATGATAAATTAATAAAAACTAAGAATAAAAGTTTATAAAATAATACTTTTTTAATTAATGTATCAGTTAATAACTAATAGCATTATTTAAATTTATTATATGATATTGATTATATTAGTATTAGTTTTAATTATATTTTATTTATTTATTATTTAAATAGATTATCTTAATATAAATAACTTACTTAATCAAAAGTATTGATTGAAATTGATTCAAAGAGGCATATTATTTATTACTATTTCATTTTTTTTATTTTTTGTAATACCAATTTAGTAAAATAATTTAATTAGTCTTTAAGTGAAAGATGAATATTCTTATTATGAAAAGGTTTAATATTCTTTCTATTTTGAGAGCATGTTAATTATAAAAGCTGTATTTAGAATTGACTATTTAAATTTTTAAGTAAATGTTTCATCTAAATACACATACTTGTGCTCCCAATTTAAAAAGTTTAAGTTTTACATTTTCTTCTCATACAGCTCCTTTTAAAGAAACCTCATTATATTTTAAAGAATTGGATTATTAACGGCTTCTAAAGAATGGCCTGAAAAATTTGATGTCATAAATAAAATTAACTCTTTTTTATTCAGATTTATCATTACTAAATGAATTTCATTTAAAGAAAGTAAAATTGGTATAAAAATCTTATCGAATTTATCAAAAATAGTATTATTTTGACCTGTATAAGGTTTCATGTAATGTCTCATACATTTAAAATCTAAATTGTCTTATTGTAAAGGATTTTCTTTGGTGAAATATTTGTAAAAACTTGAGGAAAGATAAAGAATTCTCATTCCTTTTGGAAATTCCTTTTAATTTAATTGATAAAGATAAAGCTAATGTCCCTGTCTCTCTTCTAAATATTTTATAAAGAAGTTTAATCCATCTTCAGTTAATATATTTCCACTCCTTAACTTTATGATGTCTCCTTCTGTAATAGTTTTTTCATACCTTTAGCAAACAATATTGCTATTTTCATTGTTTATCACTGATTCATTATAGCGCTATCCAAAAGCATAGGCATAATTTTTATCACTAATGCTCTAATTTATTGAAGACATACCTGCTAAAGCCAAACTGCTTCCTAAATTAAAACCAATAGGACTATTCTAATTTTTATTATTATTATTATTATTATTATTATTATTATTATAACTATTTCTAAGAGAATTATTATTGCTATTATTTCCGATCTCAAATTAGTTTTTAAAGTTACTATTATTATAAACACTAGAATGATTTTATAAACTTTATTTGATTGAAGAATTGTAAAGTTAAGACTATTCATTAGTTTAATTAGACTTGGAATTTTTTGATGCCTACCAATCTAAACCTAATTTATGAAATATCATACTATGAAATCTAAAGTTGTATTCATCAATTAATTGCTTGTAAGTCTCAATGTCATAATTATAGTAATAGTGAAGCAGCTAAACAAAAGTGTTATACCTAATGAATTTTTATAAAATATTTTTAATTTTTAAATTTCAATGAAGAACTTTAACTTTAATAAGATTCATAAATAGAAAATAAATTTTGTTATCAAAAAACTATTAATAAATAATCTATAAAATGTGATCTTTTAATAGCTTATTTGATTGATCAAGAATAGTTATAATATTTAAAATAGCATTTGTATATTAGTAGCTATTATCATCAAATGATAATACATAATTAATTGATATTAATTACCATTCCATATATTCTCCAACTTATCTTTCTTTGTCGATTGCATCTTAAACATTGTTTTGCTACTTAAAATCAATTCTTTTATTCATATCTACTTCAAATTATTTAAGTATTGTCTTCAACTCTCCAACTGATAGCTATACTTATTGCTTTTCCAAAACATCTTCCTTAGTTATCTCTCCCCTTTCATATTATGCTAAAATGTCATCCTCTGAGATCTCATCTTCCTCTTCTTCGTCATAATCTTTTCGTTTCTTTTTTTTCTTGTGAGTTTTTGCTTACTTTATTTATAAATCAAACTCTTACAACTTTTTGTTTATATAATAATCTGCTAATCTATTAATAAAATATAAATTATTGTTAATAAATTCTAAATACAAAGTATTTTACGTTTCCTTTTCAATTTATTCTTATTTTTTTTTCCTTTTCATTTCTTTGGACACATCATATTGGAGTTTCTCAACCAATAAATCAAGCTCTTCTTTAGGGATATTTAATATACCATTTTACGAATATCTTCTTTTAAGTTCATCAAACTCTTGCTAAAAGTTAAAATTATTTAAAATTTCATCTTGTTCATCTTCTTATTATTCTTAAGGTTCATAAAAATTATCTTCTTAATCTTCTTCTGCTTCTAATATGGGAGAGCTTTCGTGTTTCTTCTTTTTCTTTTTTTTCTTCTTTTTGGATTCTTTTACATTTAAATAAAATAAATGATTAAATATTCATATCAGCCAATTATATTCTTAATATAAATTTTACCTTTTTCAAACGCTTAATTAGAGGATGGAGGGGATAGAATGCCTTAAAGTGATACAATAGATGGCATGGTACTGTCAATGCTTTTTTTAGACTGAACAAGCTTAAATCCTTCAAAAATATGATTATTTTTTGGATCTTGCATCATCATTTTAAAAAGTAACCATTCAATAATCGTTGTTTGTTTTTTAATTATCTCTAAAGTCTACTAAGAAAACTCTGAAAACGGCTAAGGGTTTCCAGGAGGATCAATAAGCCACATTAGTAATCTGAAAACTAGAGTTCCACTATATTTTGCTTCAGTCGGTGAATGAAAGCTAAAATTTTCAACATAATTAATTACAGAATTTTTCAGATCAAATTATTCAGCTATCAATGCAGAAACTACTTCTGCATATTCATCTTTCATGTGATCCTTAAAAATAAAGAAATGACTTTAGTTCTAATTCAAATCAACAAGAAGAAGAGACCAAGTTTTTTCGTAATATATAACAACAGCAACATTTTCGTAATTGTTAACCAATTCTTGATATTGATAATAGTTTTCAAAATTTGTTAAGTAGTCTGCATCAATTTATTTCTACGCTGTTAAACCTTAGATTATCAGAGTTATAATACACAAATTCTTTTTGGTATTGATTTAACCTTTTTGTTCATACAAGTTTTCTTAATAATTATGTGCATAATTTAGTAAAAATGCCATCAAAGGCACTGATGATGTTTGTTCTTCAGTCAAAAGCTCTAATTGCTCATAAGTTAAGCTCAACCCCATTCTATTAATTATAACATCTTTTGAAACAAATACTTCTTTAGCTTTAGTTTCAAAAAATTATCTCATTTATATGTATTCCTCATCTTGATAATCCCTCATAGAAGGTATTGTTTTGTCCCTGACAATGTATTGTCCTGGTCTCTTCAAAAGCTTAAGGGAACATTCACCTTCCCTATTAAGTACTATCTCATTAACAACTACCTCTTATTTATTATAACATCCAAATATTCTATTTATCTTCTCATATAGGTCCTCATCTAAATAAAAATCTTGAAAGTTTATTTTTGTTTTACAGCACTTACAAGGAAAACTAAATTTATAATTCGTATTTTTGCTGTTTTTCATGCACAATTAAACTAATTCATCTTCATCATACAAACATTATAACTGCTTACAATTTATATTACGATAAGGTACTAACATTGAGTTAGGATCACTTGATAAAACTATGCTAATATTTACTTCATTTTATTTAGGGTTCTTCTGAAAAAGCAGATTTAACATTCCGCTCTTCTATTTTTTGAAGAGCATTTCCCTTATGTTATCTACATCCATTCCTCACTTATTATGCATATAAACCTTTTCTAATCTAATCCCAACTAAAAATACACCTCCTTTAATTTCCTAAATATAAAATTATAAGCTTTTTTATGAATGTATTAAATCACCAATTAATTATAAATTAACAATGATTTTTTTTAATGAGTAAGTGACAAAAAAATCTGATTATTAACTTTAATATTTCTAATTTGATTTCAGTAATCAAAGAAATTTAAAATAAATATAAAATAAGTGTATATATTAGCATGCTAATTTTAAATGTATAACTAACTACTCTAAATTTATAAAATTAATTATTTGTATTAAATATTTAACTATTATAAAATATTTAAAATTTTTATAATGGTTAGATATGAAAATCAAAACATTTGCTAACTAAAGTTTTATCAAATTTTTAAGATTTGAAATAAATTTTTATTAACAAAAAGAGTTTTTTAATTTCAAGGTATAAAATTTATAATTATATTTATCGGAGTAGAGTTTGTTTAGATACAATAATTTTATTTATCAATTTTTTATACATAAAAAATAATAATATTAATTTATCATTTTAAAACATGATTTATTTAGTTATTTTAATTTTGATATTTTTTACTTGTCTCATTTTTATAAAAACTTGATTATTCTTTTGAAGCAAACTAGAAATAAATATAGAACTTAAAAATAATTGATTAGTTTAATCAGTTATTATACCATTTAATTTAGTTATAGAAAATATTTATTAAAATCTTAAAGAAATTAAAGAATTGATAGAAATTTAAGAAGTATAAAATTTTATTTTATAAAATTGAAAAATAAAAATAGATTTAATTTGCATAAATTAATTTCAAAACATCCTAAACAGATAATAAAGAAATAATAAATTTTATATTTATCATAGTAGATTAATTTTATTCAATACTTCAAAAAATATATTGAAATTTTAATTATAAATGTTTTTATTTTATATAATATTATAATAATCATTTTAAAATTCTTAGTTTTTTTTGTTTACATTCCTTAATGCCTTTTAATTATTGTCTTATTATGATACTAAAATTTACTATACTTTTTTAGTTATTTATTTCCATTGCTCCCTAGTGATTGATGTGTATTTTTTGTAGTTAAGTTACAAATCAGATCCTAATTCTTTTAAGTCTAATTTGTTGTTTTAATCTTCATCTAAAATATTAAATAACCAATCTGTAAATAATTCATATTTTTCTTATTTTTTTGTTAATTTGCTGAAAAATTGATAGTTGGTTTGTTTATTAAGTTAATTTTCTTCATCTTTATTAATTAATTCTTTAGGATTTGCAAATGTCAAAACTTTTTTTAGATCTAATGACTTTTCTTTTTTTGTAGCTTCAAGGAATTGAAAAAGTAGTTTTTTAGGGTTTTTCTTTATAAATTTAATAAAATCTTATTTATTCATTTACAATTGTTACTATTCAAACTAATTAAATTCATCTTATTCTACTAAACCATCTCCATTTAGATCATAGATTTCAAAAAATAGTTAGGAATAGGATTTTAAATCCTTATTTATTTTTTCTTAAACATGTTTTTATTTAAGTAAGATTTATACCCTATTATAGAAATCCTAAGCATATTTTAAGTCTTCAGCTTGGTTTTCAATACTAATACTTTTAACTTCTTCAGCAACTATGTAGGTTTTTTCAGTTGAGATGAAGATGAGAATTCCTGAAACAATCAGAATTACAACTATAAAAATCATTGCAAATAAATCCAGATATCTTTGTTTTGTTATTATTCCATTCTCTTGCTACTATTAAATTTATTACTAATATTAATCCTACTATTAGTTCATAGTTTAGTCTAAAAATTGCTTACTATTTTAAAATTAACACAAAATTAAGTTATTTAGATATTTATTTGTTCGCAAAAAGTCAATTTAAAATAATTCAATAATATTTTTGATAAAGAGAAATATCAAAAATTGTAATTTTAAAAAAAATCTATTGACAGCTTTCAAAATACAACCTTACAAAATAATTAAAAAAAAAAAGCACTTATTTAAATTAATCATTTTATTTTTTAGTAAATCAAATAAAATATTCAATATTAGCATAAACAATTAATTACCCTTTCAATAACCATAATAAAAATTAATTACTGTGAAAGATTAATACAAAGTGTTAGTTATATTATAGTCATAAACTAGAGGTCTGATATATATACTCAATGAATCTAATTTAAATTTAGAGAGTTGAGTTTTTGTAAAACATTTTTATTTATTTTTGATTTTACTCTGTTGAAATTTATAAATAATTAAGTAATTCGACTCAAAAGAATTTTTGAAGGTTTTAATAATGTTTAGTGATTTTAAAAATAGTAATCACAATATCAAAAAAGTATGAAAAAAATATTAATTTTATAAAATACTTTATATATATATTTACAGTTCAAGAGGCGAATTTTTATAAAATGTTGTTATTAATAAGTTACAGTGATTTTTCTTTTATGATATTCTTAAATTTGGGTATAAAATTAGTTAAAATGGGTTAAAAATTTTTTTGAAAATTGAAAACCTTTTGTCAAATTTTGAACTTAAAAAATGAAGACTAAGGGTAGTTTAATCCATATTCAGTTAATATGTTTCCACTTCTTAGCTTTATGATATCTCCATTCGTATTATGTTTTTTACACTAAGCAAAGAATATTATTATTTTGATTGTTTATAATCTACTCATTATAGCTCTACCCAAAATCATATCATAATTTTTATAACTAATACTCTAATTTATAGAACAAATTCCTGCTAAAGCCAAACTGCTTCCTACATTGAAACCAATCAGACTATTATAATTATTATTATTGCTTAGAGAAATTTTATTATTTTTCAGATCTCAAATTAGTTTTAAGTTTAGTATTATACTAGAATGACTAAATAGATTTTATTTGATAGAAGAATTGTAAAGCTAAGATTTTTTAATAGTTTAATTTGATTTGGAGTCTTTTGATGCCTACTAATATAAACCTAATTTATGAAATTTGGTACTGAGATATCTAAAATTGTATTCATAAATTAATTGTTTGTAAATCTCTATGTCATAATTATAATTATAGTGAAACAGCTAAGCAAAATTATTTCACCTAATTTTAATATATTTTTAACTTTTAATTCATTAAAGGAGAATTTTAACTGCAATAATATTCATTTAGTAAATAAATTATGTTTTCAAAATACTAATAATAAATTAAAAAATTCAATATTTAATAACTTACTAAATTTGATTTCATTATGCTTGATCATTAATGGTTTTAAAATCTAGAATATCATTTTGTCTATTAATAGCTTTTTAAATATATCAACAAATGATAATATAAAATTAATTGATATTAATTACCATTCCATATATTCTCCAACTCATCTTTATTTGTGAATTGCATCTTAAATATTGTTTTCTACTTAAAATCAATTCTTATATTTATTTCTACTTCAAATTATTTAAGCATTGTCTTCAGCGCTCCAACTGAAAGCTATACTTATTACTTTTCTAAAAATTTTTCCTTAGTTATCTCTCCCCTTTTATATTATGCGAAAATATCATCCTCTTAGATCTCTTATTCCTTTTCTTCGTCATATTCATTTAGTTTATTTTTTTCTTGTGAGTTATTGCTTACTTTATTTATTAATCAAACTCCTACAACTTTTTGTTATTTAATAATCTGCTAACCTAAAAATATATGAAGAAGATTAAGAAGATAATTCTTATGAACCTTTTGAATAATAAATAGGACAACAAGATGAAGATTTAGATAATTTTAACTTTAACAAAAGGTTAATGAATTTAAAAGATGATATTCTTAAAATGGTAATTAAATATTTGCTTAAGAAACTCCAGAATAACCTGTTTTAATAATAAAAAAGGAAACAAAAATAAGAAGAAACTTAAAAGGAAAAGCAAATTTCTTTATATTTAGAATTTATTAAAAATAATTCGATTTCTTATATAATAAAGCTTTTTTGTTTCTTCTTTTTGGATTCTTTTACATCTAAACTAAATGAATGGAGATATAACAGCCAATTATATTTTTAATCTAAATTTTACCTTTTTAAAACTTTTAATTAAGAAAAAGGAGGAGATTGAATACCTTAAAGCGAAATAATAGAAGGCATTCAATATCAGTGCTATTTTTAGAATAAATAAGCTTAAATCCGTCAAAATAGTCAATATTTTTTGGATCTTGCTTCATTATTTTAAAAAGTAATCAGAAATATAATAATAATTTTAAAATTCTTAGATTTATATTTTTACATGCAATAATGCTTTTTAATTATTGCCTTATTATGTTATGATACTTAAATGTACTATAAGATTTTAGTTATTGTATCCATTGCTCCCAAGTGATTAATGCATATTTTTGTAGCTAAGTTATAAATCATATTCTAATTCTTATAATTCTATTTAGCTATTTTAATCATTTTCTTAAGTAGAATATCAATTTAAAATAATTCAATATATTTTTGAGAAATAGTAAATAACATATAGCCAAAACAGAGTTCTATCCGAGCCAATGACTTGAATTTAGATAGCAGAATAATATTAACATGTCTATTTTTGATTACATCTAGTTAAAATTTAATAACTTAAATAACTCCATTCAAATTAATTTTTGAAGGTTTGACTAAAGTTGATTTGAGATTATATAAATAGTAATTACAATATGTTTAAATTATGAAAAAAATAGTAGTTTTATAAAGTATTAAAAACCACCTTTTAATTTTTATCAATCATACTTTTTAATTTATATAAAAATATATCAAGATACAAATAGGGTATGTATTGAAGAATAAAAATAAGTACTGTAAAATGTTTATAACTCGTTATATTTATACCCATTTTTAAGAGAGTCTAATTTAAATGATTCGTTTATTTTTTGATTCTTATAAGGCTGGGTAGGCAAAAAAGTAGAGGGAAATAAGTATATTTTTTGTTTGATACTTTTGATATTTTTCAATTGCTGAAATAAAAATAATCATTTTAAAAAAAGAAAAATAGAGAAATGGGATTTAGGTTTGTTTAGTAAATAAATAAAATTAGAAGTATTAGTATCGAGTTACCTTCTAGTATTGATTAAAAAACTAGTCCAGTGATAGTAATTAATTATATAAATTTTATTTACAGTTATATGTTTGTTTTTCTAGACAAATTTTAGAAAAATTCTTCATAATTAGCTATTTTATTTTAGAAAGCATTATTTAAATAATCAATAGATAGTCACTTATATTACGAATTTAAAAGATCATGATAAACAAAAAATTAACAATCAATTAATTAATTTAAAATCTTGTCAGAAATATAATAGCAATCTTAAATTCTTAGTTTTAAATTTTTAGAGGATTAAATGTCTTTTAATTATTGCCTTATTACGATACTAAAATTTAATATATATTTTTAATTATTCATTTCGATTACTTCTTAGTGATTGAAGCATATTTTTGAGAGCTAAGTTGTAAATCCGCTCCTAATTCTAATAATTCTATTTAGTTATTTATCTTAATCTTCATCTAAAGCAGTTTATTTTAAATATTGCTTAGTATTTTAAAATTATCATAAAATTAAATTGCTTAAATATTGATTGAATTAGAAAAAAATCAATTTTAATAAATAAAGATTAAAGAATAAAGTAGTATATTAAAAAAAAATTCAATAAACTGTTTTCAAAATACAACATTATAAATAATTTTAGAAAAATTGTTAGTTTAATAAATTATTTTAGTTTTTAGTAAATCAAATAAAATATCTGAATTAACTAAGTAATAAACAATTACTTTTTCTATAACCATAATAAAAATTAATTACTATGAATTACTAATACATAATATTAGCATATTCAGCACAGAGGTCTGTCCTAAATAATAAATTGAATTTACATAGTGGGATTATGTTAAGCAACTTTTAATTTTTTTTATTTACTCTAGTTGAAATTCTAAATAACTGAAATAACTCCAGTAAATGAATTTTTGAATGCTTGAATAAAGTTGATTTGAGATTACATTAATATTAATCGCAATATCCAAAAATTATGAAAAAAAATATTAGTTTTATAAAATATTATATACATTCTTAAATTTTCATCAGCTATTATTTTTAATTTATTTAAAAATATACCAAAATAAAAATTAGCTAAGTATTGATGAACAAAAATAAATACTGTAAAATATTAATAACTCCTTACATTAATACCCATTTTTGAGAGAAGTTAACTTAAGCAATTTGCTTAATTTTTTTGAATCTTAAAAGGATGGGCATGCAAATAAATAGAGGGATATAAGTATGTTTTTTGTAGGTTATTGAATAATTTCGATATTTTTCAATCGCAAGAAATAAGTATCTAGAAAAAATATATTATTTTTAAAAAATCAGAAATGGGATTTAGGTTTGTTCAGGGTTATAAAAATAAAATCACAAATTTAAGTATCAAGCAACCTTCTTGTATAAATTAAAAAATTAATCCAGTAGAATAGGTTGATTATTTATATTTTATTTACATTTATTTGCTTATAATTTTCCTAAGTTCTAAAGAAAACTTTAGCTATAGAAAAATGCTTTTCATAATTAACTGATTTTATTAAGCTATTTTATTTTTAAATTTTTTGATTTTAAAGGCGGCCTTTATATAAAGTAAATCATTTATCACTGTTATTACTAATATAAAAAATCAAATTCAGCAAAAAATAAATAAATAATCAATTAAATAATTGAAAAGTATTAATTAATTAAAAAAACAATTAATATTATAATAATGTTATCAACTATCTTAGTTTATTTACTTTTCAGTTTAATACAGAGAAGTATCTCTTATAACCTTAGTCCAGAAGATGAAATAAATGTTCCTGTTTTTCAGCCAGTTCCATCTTTAACAATAGATACTTCTTTACTATGTAAGGATGCATAATCAAATTAGTTATAACCATTTACTCAATCGTCTAAAAAATATGTAGCGCTTAGCATGGGAAATTGTGGAGTATATATCTTTGATATTACTTATTTAAATAATCCTTTGATCGTTTTTAATGACACGCTTGCTTTTAATGGATACACATAGGGAATAACTTTCAGTGATACTACAAAGTTTCTATGGATTGGACATTCGACTGGTTAATTTTTTGGTATCGATACTAAAATTTAACCTTTTGCTATCACCGTTAAAGGAGTATCTAAAGGTAATTTATCAATAAACAAGATAATCCTATGGCCTCTGGATAATAATGTCCTCTTTTTAATGTGTTTTACCTAATTTTAAATATTTAATTTTAGGGAGCCAAGCTAAGGGTTGATCTATCTATAATCAGTAAACGTTAATGGAATTAATACCTTCTAAATTGAATTTGTTAGAGGATATTCAATTGCTTTAGTTACTACATCAAATGTAGGAGTTTAGTTTTTTACAGTTAGCAATGGAAAAGATATAAACAGTATCTCTTTTACTTATTCCTGTTTTCTAAAGCCTTTGTTTTTTGATGTTACTAATTTCTAACTAATTGATGAGAATACGATCGCTATTATGATGGTATACAGAGGTGCTTATATCTATAATATTTAAAATTTTCTTGATAGTGGAGGCTAGACTTGTACAACTACTATATTTTAGTGGATTGATTAAACTGAAATTGAAGGATAAGGTGGTTAAATGTATCTTTCTTAAAATAGAAGATATCTCTATACATAATTTAGATCAGTGGGAGTTCAAGTATATGATGTTAAGGATAAGACATTCTAAATTGTCCAAAGAATATTTATTGAATCTAACTGTAACGATATACGATTAAGCAGTGCAGAAGATCTCCTTTATTATACGAACTCATTAACATTGTAAATATTTGAAAGGACTACGCCAAACTTCAACAGAGACGTTCCAAATTTAATGCTGAATTAGTATTAGATTACTTCTTATAACTTCTTCAAAGAAGAGCGTAAAACTGGCAGTCTAGATTACTACTGCTATTTCAACTAGAATAAACAAGAACTATATATGGCGAGAGCTGATTTTGGAGCTGCTGTTTTTAAATATCCTGGACAAGGAATTTTAGAGAGTTAATCATTCGTCTATAGATAATCAAGTAAACCGTTTCCAAATAGTAAAATTGCTTTTCTCTAAGATAATAGCACAGCTTATCTATCTCGTATAGCAGGTGGATTATCAATTATCGATTTTAGTAATTCTAGTTCTCCAGTAATATTAAAAGAAAATGTTACTTTAGGTTCTCCTATTGTTGCCTTTGTTTATGTAGAATTTTTCAAAGATTTTTAATTTGGAGTTGTTTGTAATTACGTAAATGGATATATAATTTCTATTAAAGACCCTCTAAATCCTTTTATTATCAGTGTCATAGATACATATAAGTACACAGGAGGAGATGCTAGCTTTATTAAAGCATTTATAAGTAAAGACAACAATAGAATGTTCATGATGCTCGAATCTCTTGGCATGTTCGTAGGAAATATTACTGACCCGTTAAATCCTTAAATAATTTCTTCATTTTTTGCTTTTGGATGTGCAGATTTTAAGTATTGATTAAATTCTTTTACATTTTTAAATACTTACTATTTAACTAATAAAATACAAGAAGAGTATTTAGCTAAAAATATAATTAAATTGACTTTTTTGCTATTTATTATTAATCAAATTAAAAAATTTTTTACTTAAAAATTTTTATTAATTTTTTTTAGATTAACTTAAGACGAAAAGTATGGCATTTTAGCTGCCACTTTCAAAGGTATTATAATATTGTAAAATCAACCTAATTATACACTAACACAAATATCTGAATTGAAGGTAGTGGGTTCTCTTCATCATTTCATTTTAATGTCAAATGATTAGTATATTTTAGCTACAACTTTTGAATATTCTTCAATAATTCTAATAAGCATAGTTGATATTCTTAAACCTACAATTGTGTAAATTATTGGAGATTCAGGTGCATGTGGTTACTATAGCTTGTGTCTTACAAGTGATAATACATAGGTATTTATAACAAACTAGTATTTCTTATATCTTCTTTAAGTTTAAAATTAAATAATCTTGCATACTTAAATTTATTTACTATAAAGCTTATCTAATTCTAATCAATTTAAGCGATAAGTCTTGCCAAAAAGATAACCATTATAAGTTGGCTAAAAAATTGAGATGCATTTGGTTCCCATTTATTAGAGTTAAGGTATAAGAGTTAACAGTGCTCAGTATTATTTTTAAAATACTCTTCAAGCTTTACCCTCGTGGATAATATTTTAGCCAAGCACTTAAATATTAAGCTTGAGCATCAGCAAAGATTCCCTTTAAAGAGATAGTGAAGGGTAGTATATTGACACTATTCAGTAAGTAGTTTTCCTAACTTACTAGTCAGTAGTAGACTCAGCTTTTGTAAATAATTACCTACAAATCAACGATGATGACTCTCTTTCTATAAAGGAAGCCTGCATAATTACTGGAATTATGGATTAAAGTGGATTCGTTTAACCTTCCTATACTCCATCTTAAGAATTAAATCTTGGAATAAATGAATAAATTTATCTAGCAAAATGGTAAGGGTCGTAATAAAGCCTCGTTAAGAAATTTATATAGTATGTTATAAACTAAAATATTATAAATTATACTATCAGCTTTTATATTACTTAATCCATTCAAGTTGATTTAAAAAATAAGAATTAAATTATATTTTCTATTTCAAATGACATAACAGTTGAATTACAAATTGTTGAAAGAATTGCTGGGGGATATACTCTACCAACAAACAAGATTAAATTTGTCAATAAAAGCTATTCAAGTGTACTTATTCTAATTTCTTCTGCCTCAGATTAACTTAAACTTGAGGGTAGCCTTAATAATATAAATAGCATCTTATAAAACGGTTTGAAGTATTCAATTAGTAAAAACATTTCCTCTGAAGATATATTAATTTAAATGACAGTTTCTGATGGAGTTAACTATGATTATATCAATACCTTTTCTTATAAAGACGCGGTTTTTTTATCTCTATAAACTCCAGTTACTCTTTCATAAGACATTAATTTATAAAGTGACTTTAACTCTAAATATGATAGTGGAAAAATTTATATTTATGACAGTTTTTAGTATCAAATAAGTAGCTCAGTCTTTACATGTAATGATTCACCTATTTTACAGTACTCAGTTAAGATAAAATAAGAAAACCAATTTGTTGATATTCCTAAAGGTTATTGGATTTAATTCTCTCCTACTGATAGAGTGTTAACTGGAAATCCCCCAGTTTCTTATTTTAACAGCTTTGTTGTGATCTAAGTTAATGCTACAGATGGCTACACTTATAGTGTTGACCAATTTACCATAAATCCTTGCCTGATACCTTTCAGTTACGCTATTCAGTTAGCTATTTAAATTCTTGGACCTATATTTGGTATACTAGGATTGTATAAGTATAAGCATTTGATCTATAATATATATTTTAAATAATAATATATCTACTCTAAAGATGTTGCTTATGTAGGAGAAATATATTAAAAATAAATAACAATAACTAATGATGTTAGAGGTTTAGCAAAGAAATTATGGAAATTTTTCCAAAAAACACTAGGAGAGAAAGAGATTTTGTGTTAATTATCTCAGTAATTAATGAAAGAAAATTAGGCTACAAGCTACCAATACTTTAATCCTAAAAAGAGAGAGGAGGATTTAAAAAATATAGAAGAAGAAGATGATATTAGTTTTGAAGAAGAGGTTATTAATAAAATGTACCCTTTTGGAGTAAATAAAGATTAAATAGGAATAGTAGATAGAAAATCTAAAAATATTATGATGCAAAGTTCGCAAAAGTTAAATCTATCTTTAAAAAGAGGATTATCAGTAACCAAGACTATTAACTAAAATGAAAATAGTCCAAAATTTGAATGTTCTCTACCAAATACGGAAAAATGTACTACAAATTTTCAAATTAATAACTAGATTTAATAAAATCAAAATCTTTTTAAATCAACTAAATATGAAGTAAAGTAGAAAAGAAAATTAGTGGATTAAAATGTAAACTCTAAATCTGTAGCTGACAGCATAAGATTTGATCTATTACAAATGTCAACCTAACACATTAAAATGGATTAAAGCAACATAAATTATCTAGAGGGAAATGAAATTAATCTTTTTGAAAATGGGCAAATTAATTTTTCATCAATTTTATAATTCATTAAATAAAAATAAGAATAGCTACATGAAAAAAATAGAATTCTTAATGAAAAGTAGCTAGAATCTCTTTTAAATAGATATTCTATGTTGTCATAAGCTATTTGCTGCTATTTTGTAGACTACTTAATCGAAAAAGATAAAATTACTAAAAAAATATTTGAATGTATGCATAGTAAAGCTTGCCAGTATTATTTGAAAATAGATTGGTATAAAGCATATGTTGACATAAAACATTCTTTTGATAACATGAATTCTTACCCTGAAATTAATATTAATGAAAAGACATATTCTGCTTCTCTTAGAGAAATTTTTAGCTCTATTTCAAGATATTATTATGATCCAGATACTAAAAATCCTAAGGAAATAAGATTTTTCTAGGCTTTACTCAAAGAAGCTATTAAATCAAGGGCCATTGGGTTCTCTAGCAAATCTACTTAATTCCTTTAAGTGACTCAAGGAGAGAGCTTACATACATTTAGCCACCTAATTTAGTCAGTTAAGACATTCGAAAAAAGCTCTTATACCTTATGTTGTTATACTTTGCGTAAGCTTCTAGACATCCATTACTTAGAAAAAGGATTAACAGATAATGAAAAACTGCCTTCTTGGATTCACTCTATAGATTTAATTAATGGAGTAATATTAATTAGTGGAATTCCAGAGAAAAAAGATATAGGAAGCATATTAATTAAAATTATAGACTCATCTTAGTTCATTGTTAAAAGCTTTGAAATCCAAGTTCTTTAAAAATAAACAGAAAATAACGGAGAGAAAATAATTTAAACACATGGTTAAAATCATACTTAGTTAATAAATATTTAAAATAATTCAGACTAATCATAATTTAATTTGTAAAAAATATATTAAAAAAATAGATTAAAGAAAGCTTCTACCTTTGCTAAAAATGCTAATCTTGAAATTTAATTAGCCTAATCATATTAAATACATGATATTAATCAATTAAATGGAGAAAGCTCTCCTTATTCCCCAATAAATCACATTAAATATGCAGACTTAGATGAATAACCCTTATAATTGGATGAAGTATAAGAGATTGAATTAAAATCTATGAAAACTGCTTAACAAAATATACAATAAAGAAAATAATAGTTAGTTAAGTCATTAAAATAATCTGATTTTGCTGTAAATATGAGTCAACAAGCAAATAAGTAATTACCTGAAAATTCTTATTTGATGCTAAATACAATTAGTTTATAAACTTAAGAGATAGATAATCAAAATGTTAATAATATTGAATAAATTTAAAAATAACTTTAAAATATTCCTTGACTAAAAGCTAAATAAGAAACTATTGAAAAAAGGTATTACATTAATTCACATTTGAAAAAATAGCATACACTAAATGAAGACGAAAAGTAAATCATAAACATCTAAAGTGGTTTAGCTGAAATTTGATTTTATCTTTCTAAGTTCTAAATTTAATTACCAATAGATAGATAGATAAATAGGTATCTCATCTTTAAAAAATTTTATTATTAATGAAATAATATTTATTTTAACAATAATGTAATTATATTATATTTTTAAAGAATAATATTCATTTTTTAAGTTCCTTTAATTCATTATTTTTATTATCAAAGTAATTAATTAGAATATTTTTTTTTGTTTTTAATCAGTTTTCTAATTTTAATTCATCTATTTTTGGTATTTAGCCTAAATATTTTCTATTATCTATATCTAGTCTGCTATAAAAATTCATATCCCTTCTCCCTTCTAAAATTTTTATATTAGAAGTGAAATACGCATTTGGTATAAAATATCTTAATTTTTTAATAAAGCTGTTAGTGGTGACAAAATATGGAGTATTGGTTAATTTTTCACATCCAATATTTTGAAAACACAATGAACCAATCAATACCAATTATTTTTAAAAAAATGTATTTTAAACCAATACTCAAATATATTTTTAACTTTTAATATATTAAAGGAGAATTTTAACTGCAATAAGATTCACTTAGAGTAAATAAATTATGCTATCAAAACACTAATAATAATTTAAAAAATGCAATATTTTAATAACTTATTTAGCTTAATTTCATTTTGATTAATCAAGAATGGTTTTTAAATTTAAAATAAAATTTTGTGTATTAATAGCTATTTAAATATATTTTCAAGTGATAATACCAAATTAATTGATATTAATTACCATTCCATACATTCTCCACTTATCTTCCTTTGTAAATTGCATCTTAAATATTGTTTTTCTACTTAAAATCACATATCTAATTCAAATTATTTAAGTATTGCCTTCAGCTCTCCAACTGAAAGCTATACTTATTGCTTTTCTAAAAAATTTTTCTTAATTATTTCTCCTCTTTCATATTATGCGAAAATGTCATCCACTGAGATCTCTTCTTCCTCTTTTTCATCATATTCGTTATTATCTTTTTTCTTATGAGTTTTTGCTTACTTTATTTATAAATCAAACTCCTGCAACTTTTTGTTATTTAATAATCTGCTAACCTATAAAATTATGAAGAAGATTAAGAAGATAATTCTTATGAACCTTTAGAATAATAAAAAGATCAACAAGATGAATGTGTTTTAATAATTAAAAAGGAAACAAAAATAAGAAGAAACTGAAAAGGAAAAATAAAAGTAAATTTTTTTATATTTAAGATTTATTAAAAAAAAAACTTCTAATTTGGGAGAGCTTTCTTGTTTCTTCTTTTTGATATTTAAATTTTACCTTCTTCAAACTTTTAATTAAGAAAAAGAAAGAGATAGAAAACCTAACGGTGATATAATAGATGGCATAGAACTATCAGTGCTAATTTTAGAATCAAAAAGCTTAAATTCTTCAAAATAGTCAATATTTTTTGGATCTTGGTTAATCATTTTAAAAATTAATTAGAAATATAATAATAATAATAATAATTTAAAATTCTTAGTTAAATATTTTTACATGTCTTAATGCTATTTAATTATTGCCTTACTATGTTATGATACTAAAATATGCTATAAGTTTTTAGTTATTTATTTCCGTTACTCCCTAGTGATTGATGCAGATTTTGTATGGCTAAGTTATAAATCACATCTTAGTTCTTTTATCTATTTTAAACATTTTCTAAAACAATTTAGTTTAAAAATTGTTTAATATTTTTAAATTTTCGCAAAATTAAGCTATATTAATATTTTTTGATTAGTCAAGTATCAATTTACAATAATTCATATGTTTTTGAGAAATAGTAAATAACAAAAATTGAATATTAATTTAAAATTTATTGAAAACTTTCAAAATACAATATTAAAAAAATTTAAAGAAAAATACTTAATTAAATAAATTATTTTAGTTTTTTTGTAAATCCAATTAATATTGAAATTAGTCTAATAAGTAACATACTACTTTTTCAATAAACTTTATAAAAATTTATTACTGTGAAATATTAATACATAATATTAGCTTTATTATTGCCAAAGTAGAGGTCTGTTCTAGCTAATGACTTGAATTTAGATAGAAGAATCATTGTAACAATTATTTATTTTTGATTTAACTCTAGTTGAAATTTTAATAATTGAAATAACTCCAGTAAAATCAATTTTTGAAGATTTGACTAAAGTTGATCTTTTTAAAAATATAAAGATACTAATCAGGTGTGTATTTATAAATAAAAATAAATACTGTAAAATATTTATAACTTAATACATTAATACCCATTTTTGAGAGAGTCTAATTTAAATTAATTTTTTCCTTTATTTTTTTGATTTTTTAAAGGTTGGGTAGGCAAAAAGTAGAGAGATATAAGTATTTTTTTTGTTAGATACTTTAGATATTTTTCAATCACCAAAATAAAAATAATCATTTTAAAAAAAGTGAAATGGGATTTGGTTTGTTTAGTATAAATAAAGTTAGTAGTAATAGTATTGATCTACCTTCTAGTGTTGATTAAAAAATTAGTCCAGTAATAGTAATTAATTATTTAAATTTTATTTACACTTATTTGTTTGTATTTATCAAGAAATTTTAAAAAATTGCTTTTCATAATTAATGAATTTTGTTTGGCAATTTTATCAACTTTTAAACTATTATTTAAATAATTAATAGTTTTTCACTGATATTAAGAATCTAAAAGATTAATCTAAACAAAAAATAAATAATTAATTAATTTAAAAGTATTAATTACAAAAAAAAAAACAATTAATATCATATAATGTTATCAGTTATCTTAGTTTATCTACTTTTTAGCTTAATACAGAGAAGTATCTCTTATAATCTGAGTCCATAGGATGAAAAAAACATTCCTGTTTTTTAACCAGTCCCATCTTTAACAATAGATACTTCTTTGTTATGTAAAGATGGATAATCATATCAGATTTAACCATTTACCCAATCATCTAAAAAATATGTAGCACTTAGCATGGCAAAATGCGGAGTATATATCTTTGATACTACAAATTTAAATAACCCTTAAATCGTTTTTAATGACACTCTCGCACTTAATGGAACAACATAGGGAATAACTTACAGCGATACTACTAATTTTCTATGGATTGGACATTCGACAGGTTTATTTTTTGGCATTGATACTAAAATTTGGCCTTTTTCTATCACAATAAAAGGAGTATCTAAAGGTAATTTATCAATAAATTAGATAGTACTATGGCCTCTGGATAATAATGTCCTCTTTTTAATGTGCTATACCTAATTTTAAATATTTGATTTTAGATAGCCAAGTTAAGGGTTTATCCATCTATAATCAGTTATTGTTAATGGAATTAATACCTTATAAATTGAGTTTATTAGATAATACTCTTTTGCTTTAGTTACTACATCAAATGTAGGAGTTTAGTTTTTTAAAGTTAACAACGGTTAAAATATAAGCAGTATTTCTTTTACTTATTCCTGTTTTCTAAAGCCTCTCTTTTTTGACGTTGTCAATTTCTAACTACTTGATGAGAACACGATCGCTATTATGATGCAATATAGAGGTGCATATATTTTCAATATTCAAAATTTTCTAGATAGCGGAGGCTAGACTTGTACTTCTACAATATTTTAGTAGATTGATTTAACTGAATTTGAAGGATTAGGTGGTTAAATGTATCTTTCTTAAAATAGAAGATATCTCTATACATAATTTAGATCGTTGGGAGTTTAAGTATATGATGTTCAGAATAAGACATTCTAAATTGTCCAAAGAATATTTGTTGATTCTAGCTCTAATGATATAAAGTTAAGCAGCTCAGAAGATCTCCTTTATTATACAAACTCATTAACACTGTAAATTTTTGAAAGGACTACCCCAAATTTCAACAGAGATGTTCCAAATTTAATGTTGAATTAGTATTAACTTAGTTCTTATAACTTCTACAAAGAAAACCGTAAACATGGCAGTCTAGATTACTCTTGCATTTTCAATTAGAATAAGCAAGAACTTTATATAGCGAGAGCTGATTATGGATCTGCTGCGTTTAAATATTCTGGACAAGGAATTTTAGAGAGTTTATCGTTTGTCTATAGACAATCAAGTTCGTCATTTCCAAATAGTAAAATTAGTTTTCTCAAAGATAATAGCACAGCTTATCTAACTCGCATAGGAGCAGGATTATCAATTATTGATTTTAGTAATTCTAGTTCTCCAGTAATATTAAAAGAAAATGTTACTTTAAGTTCTCCTTTTGTTGCATATATCTATGTTGATTTCTTCAAAGATTTTTAATTTGGAATTGTTGTTAATTATATAAACGGATATATAATTTCTATTAAAGACCCTCTCAATCCTTTTATTGTCAGCGTCATAGATACATATAAGTACACATAAGGAGATACTAGCTTTAATGCAGCCTTTATAGGTAAAGATGAAAACAAAATATTCATGAGGCTAGACACTTATGGAATTCTAGTAGGAAATATTACTGATCTGTTAAATCCTTAAATAGTTTCTTCATATTTTTCTTATGGAACTGCAGATTTTAAGTAATGATTAAATTTACTTACTATTTAATTTATATAATTAATTTAAAATACAAGAAGTGTATCATTCAAATTTTTCAAATGAGGTGCCTTTATTATGAATAATTGATTCTTAAAAGCTTATTTTAAGATTGATTGATTTATTTTTATTTCTTTGATTTATTTAGCTAAAAAAATAATTAAATTAACTTTTTTTTTTTTTATTAATTTTTTTAGATTAACTTAAGACTAGTAGTATGGAATTTTAGCTGCCACTTTCAAAGGTATTATAATATTGTAAAATCAGCCTAATTATACTCTAACAGAATTATCGCAATTGAAGATAGTGGGTTCTCTTCATCATATAATTTTGATTTCAAACGACTAGTATATTTTAGCTACAACTTATGAGTATCCTTCAATAATTTTAATAAGCATAGTTGATATTCTGAAACCTACAATTGTATAAATTATTGGAGATTCAGGTGTATTCGGTTACTATAGCTTGTGTCTAACGAGTGATAATACATAGGTATTTATAACAGGCTAGTATTTCTTATATCTTCTTTAAATTTAAAATTAAATAATCTTGCATACTTAAATTTATTTAGTATAAAGCTTATCTAATTCTAATGAATTTAAGAGATAAGTCTTACCAAAAGGATAACCTTTATAAGTTGGATAAAAAATTGAGATGCATTTGGTTCCCATTTATTAGAGTTAAAGTATAAGAGTAAATAGCGCTCAGTATTATTTTTAAAACATTCTTCAAGCTTTACCCTCGTGGATAATATTTTAGCCAGGTACTTAAATATTAAGTTTGAGCATTAGTAAAGATTCCCTTTAAAAAGATAGTGAAGGATAATATATTGACACTATTTAGTAAGTAGTTTTCTTAACTTACCAGTAGGTAGTAGACTCAGCATTTGTAAATAATTACTTATAAATCAACGATGAAGACTCTCTTTCCATAAAGGAAGCCTGCATAATTAATGGAATTATGGATTAAAGTGGATTCGTTTAACCTTCCTATACTCCATCTTAAGAATTAAATCTTGGAATAAATGAATAAGTTTATCTAGCAAAATGGTAAGATTCGAATTTAAGTCTTGTTAAGTAATTTATATAGTATGTTATAAACTAAAATATTATAAATTATACTATCAGCTTTTATATTACTTAATCCATTCAAGTTGATTTAAAAAATAAGAATTAAATAATATTTTCTATTTAAAATGACATTACAGTTTAATTACAAATTGTTGAAAGAATTGATGGGGGATATACTCTACCTACAAACAAGATTAAATTTGTCAATAAAAGCTATCCAAGTGTACTTATTCTAATCTCTTCTGCCTAAGATTAGCTTAAACTCGAGGGTAGCCTTAATAATATAAATAGCATCTTATAAAACGGTGTGAAGTATTCAATTAGCAACAATATTTCATCTGAAGATATATTAATTTAAATGACAGTTTCTGATGGAGTTAACTATGATTATATCAATACCTTTTCTTATAAAGACCTGATTTTTTTATCTTTATAAACTCCTGTTACTCTTTCAAAAGACATTAATTTATAAAGCGACTTTAACTCTAAATATGATAGTGGAAAAATTTACATTTATGACAGTTTTTAGTATCAAATAAGTAGTTCAGTCTTTACATGTAATGATTCACCTATTTTACAGTACTCAGTTTAGATAAAATAACAAAACAAATTTGTTGATATTCCTAAAGGTTATTGGATTTAATTCTCTCCTACAGAAAGAGTGTTAACTGGTAATCCCCCGGTTTCTTATTTCAACAATTTTGTTGTGATCTAAGTTAATGCTACAGATGGTTACACTTATAGCGTTGATCAATTTACCATAAATCCATGCATGATACCTTTCAGTTTAGCTATTCAGTTAGCTATTTAAATTCTTGGACCTATATTTGGTATACTCGGATTGTATAAGTATAAGCATTTGATCTATAATATATATTTTAAATAATAATATATCTACTCTAAAGATGTTGCCTATGTAGGAGAAATATATTAAAAATAAATAACAATAACTAATGATGTTAGAGGTTTAGCAAAGAAATTATGGATATTTTTCTAAAAAACAATAGGAGAGAAAGAGATTTTGAGTTAATTATCTATGTATTTAATGAAGGAAAATTAGACAACAAGCTACAAATACTTTAATCCTAAAAATACAGAATAGGATTTAAAAAATATAGAAGAAGAAGACTATATTAGTTTTGAAGAAGAGGTTATTAATAAAATGTACCCTTTTGGAGTAAATAAAGATGAAATAGCAATAGTTGATAGAAAATCTAAAAATATTATGATGTAAAGTTCTTAAAAGTTTAATCCAACTTTAAAAAGAGGATTATCAGTAAGCAAGGCTATTAACTAAAATGAAAATAGCCAAAAATTAGAAAGTTCTCACCCAAATATGTAAACAAATACAATAAATTTTCAAAAAAATAATTAGATTGAATAAAATCAAAATCATTTTAGGACAACGAAATATGAAATAAAATAGAAAAGTAAATTAGTTAATTAAAATGTAAACTCTAAATCTGTTGCTGATTGCATAAGATGTGAGCTATTAGAAATGTCAAGCTTGCACATTAAAATGGAGTAAAGCAACATAAATGATCATGCACAAAATGAAATTAATCTATTCGAAAATGGGGAAATCAACTTTTTATCAATTTTATAATTCATAAAATAAAAATAAGAAAATCTTAATGAAAAAAATAGAATTCTCAATAAAAAGTAGTTAGAATCTCTTTTAATAAGAAATTCTTTATTATCATAAGCTGTTTGCTGCTATTTTGTAGACTACTTAATAGAAAAAGATAAAATTACTAAAAAAATTTTTGAATGTATGCAGAGTAAAGCTTGTTAGTATTATTTAGAAATAGATTGGTATAAAGCATATGTTGACATAAAACCTTCTTTTGATAACTTAAATTCCTATCCTGAAATGAATATTAATGAAAAGACATATTCTGCTTCTCTTAGAGAAATTTTTAGCTCTATTTCAAAATATTATTATGATCCAAATACTAAAAATCCTAAGGAAATAAAATTTTTTTAAGATTTACTGAAAGAAGCTATTAAATCAAGAGCCATAGGGTTCTCTAGCAAATCTACTAAATTCTTATAAGTGACTTAAGGAGAGAGCTTACATACATATAGCCATCTAATATAGTCAGTTTAGACATTCGAATAAAGCTCTTATACCTTATGTTGCTATACTTTGCGTAAGCTTCTAGACATCCATTATTTAGAAAAAGGATTAGCAGATAATGATAAACTGCCTTCATGGATTCATTCTATAGATTTAATTAATGGAGTTATATTAATTAGTGGAATTCCAGAAAAAAAAGATATTGGAAGCATATTAATTAAAGTTATAGATTCTTCTAAGTTCATAGTTAAAAGCTTTGAAATCCAGGTTCTTTAAAAATAAACAGAAAATAATTATGAAAAAATTATTTAAACACATGGTTAAAATCATGCTTAGTTTTCAAATATTTAAAATAATTCAGATTAATCATAATTTAATTAGTAAAAAATATTTTAAAAAATGAGATAAAAGAAAGCTTCTACCTTTGCTAAAAATGCAAATGCTCATTTTGAAGTATCATTAACCTCATCATATTAAATAAATGATACTAATCAATTCAGTGGAATAAGTTTTCCTTGCTCTCCAATAAATCAAAATAAATATGCAGAATTAGACGAATAACTCTTATAATTGGATGTATAAGAGATCGAATTAAAATCTATGAACAGTGCATAACAAAATATAGAATAAAGAAAACCATAGTTAGTTAAATCTTTAAAATAATCTGATTTTACAATAAATACCAATCAACAAGCAAATACGGAATTTGTTGAAAATTCTATTTTGATGCTAAATACAATGAGTTTTTAAACTTAAGAGAAAGATAATCAAAGGATAAATAATATTTAAAAAATTAAAAAATAGTTTTAAGATATTTGTTGAATAAAAGCTAAATAAGAAACTTTTGAAAAAATGTTTAAATTAATTAACATTTGATAACGTAACATACACAAAACAAAGGCGAGAATTAAATCATAAACACCTAAAGTGATTTAATTGAAATTATGGATTTTTATCTATTCTAAGTTCTGAATTTAAATATTAATAGACATTTCTTATTTAAAAATTTTTATTATTAAAGAAAAATATTTATTAAACAATAATACAATAACATTCATTTTTTAAAGAATAAAATTCATTACTTTTATTATCAAAGTTTTGAGTATATTTTATTTGGTTTTTAATTAGTTTTTTAATTTTAATTTATCTATTTTTGTTATTTAGCATAAATATTTTCTATTATCAATATATTCTTTTCTAAAAATTCATAACCCCTCTCCCTCCCTTCTAATTTTTTATATTAGAATATAATTAAGCAAAAATAATTAAGTTGGAGTATTAAAATTTGAATAAATGTTGTTTATTTTTAAAATTAAGTTTTGAAACAAGAAATATTTATCAAAATTTGAAGAAAAAAAAATTAATTTCAAAATAGTCTCTTGATTTTTATTTTTGAGAAATGAAAAAAATATTACTTTTTTATTTTTTTGTTTAGAATACCAGTCATAATAATCTAAATTAAAATTTTGTTCATTTATTTTTTTATTCTTAGAAGGCTAGGCAGGCAAAAAAGCATAGGGCATATTTTTAGATTGTTTGATACTTTAGATATTTTTCAATCACTTAAATTCAAATCCTTAATAAAAATAATAATTTTAAAAAAAGAGAAATGGGATTTAAATTTTTTTAGTAAATCAATAAAGTTAAAAGTTTTAGTAGCAAACTATCTTCTAGAATTATTTAAAAATTATTCCAGTTTTATAAATTAACAATATAAATTTTATTTACAGTTATTTGCTTAAAATTTTAAAGAATTAAAAAAAAATTCTTTTCATAATTAACGAATTTTCATTAGCTATTTTAGTTTTTAATTTATTTATTTATTAAATTTAAAAAAGTCTTATTTTTTTGACGTTTTTTTGCTTATTTAATTAATAAATTGTTAGTCACTGAATCAATTATTTATAAGATGAACCTAAACTAAAAATATATAATTAATTAATTAATTTTAAAGTATTAATTACAAAAAAAACAAACAATTAATATCACAATAATGCTATAAGTTATCTTAGTTTATATACTTTTCAGTTTAATACAGACAAGTTTCTCTTTTATTCTGAGCCCAGAAGACGAAAAAAATATACCTGTTTTTTAACCAGTCCCATCATTAACAATAGATACTTCTTTGCTATGTAAAGAAGGATAATCATATTAAATATAACCATTTACTCAATCATCTAAAAAATATGTAGCACTCAGCATGGCAAAATGTGGAGTATATATCTTTGATACTACAAATTTAAATAACCCTTAAATTGTTTTTAATGACACTCTCGCACTTAATGGAACAACATAGGGAATAATTTACAGCGATACTATTAATTTTCTATGGATTGGACATTCGACAGGTTTATTTTTTGGCATCGATACTAAAATTTGGCCTTTTTCTATCACAATAAAAGGAGTATCTAAAGGTAATTTATCAATAAATTAGATAGTACTATGGCCTCTGGATAATAATGTCCTCTTTTTAATGTGCTATACCTAATTTTAAATATTTGATTTTAGATAGCCAAGTTAAGGGTTTATCCATCTATAATCAGTTATTGTTAATGGAATTAATACCTTTTAAATTGAATTTGTTAGATAATACTCTTTTGCTTTAGTTACTACATCAAATGTAGGAGTTTAGTTTTTTAAAGTTAACAATGGTTAAAATATAAACAGTATTTCTTTTACTTATTCCTGTTTATTAAAGCCTCTCTTTTTTGACGTTGTTAACTTTTAACTACTTGATGAGAACACCATCGCTATTATGATGCAATATAGAGGTGTATTTATGTTCAATATTCAAAATTTTCTAGATAGCGGAGGCTAGACTTGTACTTCTACAATATTTTAATAGATTGATTTAACTGAATTTGAAGGATTAGGTGGTTAAATGTATCTTTCTTAAAATAGAAGATATCTCTATACATAATTTAGATCATTGGGGAGTTTAAGTATATGATATTCAGAATAAGTCATTCTATATTGTCCAAAGAATATTTGTTGATTCTAGCTCTAGAGATTTAAAGTTAAGCAGCGCAGAAGATCTCCTTTATTATACAAACTCATTAACACTGTAAATTTTTGAAAGGACTACCCCAAATTTCAACAGAGATGTTCCAAATTTAATGTTGAATTAGTATTAACTTAGTTCTTATAACTTCTACAAAGAAGACAGTAAACATGGCAGTCTAGATTACTCTTGCATTTTCAATTAGAATAAACAGGAACTTTATATAGCGAGAGCTGATTATGGATCTGCTGCGTTTAAATATTCTGGACAAGGAATTTTAGAGAGTTTATCGTTTGTCTATAGACAATCAAGTTCGTCATTTCCAAATAGTAAAATTAGTTTTCTCAAAGATAATAGCACAGCTTATCTAACTCGCATAGGAGCAGGATTATCAATTATCGATTTTAGTAATTCTAGTTCTCCAATAATATTAAAAGAAAATGTTACTTTAGGTTCTCCTTTTGTTGCATATATCTATGTTGACTTCTTCAAAGATTTTTAATTTGGAGTTGTTACTAATTATATAAACGGATATATAATTTCTATTAAAGATCCTCTCAATCCTTTTATTGTCAGCGTCATAGATACATATAAGTATACATAAGGAGATAGTAGTTTTATTACATTCTTTATAGGTAAGGATGAGAACAAAATATTCATGAGGCTAGACTCTTATGGAATTCTTGTAGGAAATATTACTGATCTGTTAAATCCTTAAATAGTTTCTTCATATTTTTCTTATGAAACTGCAGATTTTAAGTAATGATTAAATTTACTTATTATTTAATTTATATTATTAAATTAAAATACAAGAAGTGTATCATAAAAATTTTTCTAATGAGGCACCTTTATTATGAATAATTAATTCTTAAAAGCTTATTTTAAGATTAATTGATTTATTTTAGCTAAAAATAGAATTTAATTAACTTTTTTTTATTTTTATTTTTAATTTTTATTTATTTTTTTTTTAGATTAACGTAAGATTAGTAGTATGGGATTTTAGCTGCCACTTTCAAAGGTATTATAATATTGTAAAATCAGCCTAATTATACGCTAACAGAAATATCTCAATTGAAGATAGTGGGTTCTCTTCATCATATAATTTTGATTTCAAACGACTAGTATATTTTAGCTACAACTTATGAGTATCCTTCAATAATTTTAATAAGCATAGTTGATATTCTGAAACCTACAATTGTATAAATTATTGGAGATTCAGGTGTATTCGGTTACTATAGCTTGTGTCTTACCAGTGATAATACATAGGTATTTATAACAGGCTAGTATTTCTTATATCTTCTTTAAATTTAAAATTAAATAATCTTGCATACTTAAATTTATTTAGTATAAAGCTTATCTAATTCTAATGAATTTACAAGATAAGTCTTACCAAAAGGATAACCTTTATAAGTTGGATAAAAAATTGAGATGCATTTGGTTCCCATTTACTAGAGTTAAAGTATAAGAGTAAATAGTGCTCAGTATTATTTTTAAAACATTCTTCAAGCTTTACCCTCTTGGATAATATTTTAGCCAAGCACTTAAATATTAAGTTTGAGTATTAGCAAAGATTCTCTTTAAAAAGATAGTGAAGGATAATATATTGACACTATTTAATAAGTAGTTTTCTTAACTTACCAGTAGGTAGAAGATTCGGCTTTTGTAAATAATTACCTACAAATCAACGATGAAGACTCTCTTTCCATAAAGAAAGCCTGCATAATTAATGGAATTATGGATTAAAGCGGATTCGTTTAACCTTCCTATACTCCATCTTAAGAATTAAATCTTGGAATAAATGAATTAGTTTATCTAGCAAAATGGAAAGATTCGAATTTAAGTCTTGTTAAGCAATTTATATAGTATGTTATAAACTAAAATATTATAAACTATACTATCAGCTTTTATATTACTTAATCGATTCAAGTTGATTTAAAAAATAAGAATTAAATAATATTTTCTATTTAAAATGACATTACAGTTTAATTACAAATTGTTGAAAGAATTGATGGGGGATATATTCTACCTACAAACAAGATTAAATTTGTCAATAAAAGCTATCCAAGTGTACTTATTCTAATCTCTTCTGCCTAAGATTAGCTTAAACTGGAGGGTAGCCTTAATAATATAAATAGCATATTATAAAACGGTGTGAAGTATTCAATTAGCAACAATATTTTCTCCGATGATATATTAATTTAAATGACTGTTTCTGATGGAGTTAACTATGATTACATCAATACTTTTTCTTATAAAGAAGTGGTATTTTTATCTTAATAAACTCCTGTTACTCTTTCATAAGACATTAATTTACAAAGAGACTTTAACTCTTAGTATGATAGTGGAAAAATTTATATTTATGAAAGCTTTTAGTATCAAATAAGTAGTTCAGTCTTTACATGTAATGATTCACCTCTCTTACAGTACTCGGTTTAGATAAAATAACAAAACAAATTTGTTGATATTCCTAAAGGTTATTGGATTTAATTTTCTCCTACAGAAAGAGTGTTAACTGGTAATCCCCCGGTTTCTTATTTAAACAGTTTTGTTGTGATCTAAGTTAATGCTACAGATGGCTACACTTATAGTATTGATCAATTTACCATAAATCCCTGCATGATACCTTTCAGTTACGCTATTCAGTTAGCTATTTAAATTCTTGGACCTATATTTGGTATACTCGGATTGTATAAGTATAAGCATTTGATCTATAATATATATTTTAAATAATAATATATCTACTCTAAAGATGTTGCCTATGTAGGAGAAATATATTAAAAATAAATAACAATAACTAATGATGTTAGAGGTTTAGCAAAGAAATTATGGATATTTTTCCAAAAAACAATAGGAGAGAAAGAGATTTTACGTTAATTATCTAAGGAATTAATGGAGAAAAATTAGACTACTAGCTACAAATACTTTAATCCTAAAAATAGAGTATAGAATTTAAAAAATATAGAAGAAGAAGAAGAAGACTATATTAGTTTTGAAGAAGAGGTTATTAATAAAATGTACCCTTTTGGAGTAAATATAGATGAAATAGCAGTAGTTGATAGTTAATCTAAAAATATTATGATGTAAAGTTCTCAAAAGTTTAAATTAGCTTTAAAAAGAGAATTATCAGCAAGAAACAATATTAACTAAAATGAAAATAGCCTAAAATTAGAAAATTCTCAACCAATTACAGAAATATATACTACGAATTTTGCAAAAAATAACTTGATTGAATAAAATCAAAATCATTTTTAATCAAAGAAATATATAACAAAATAGAAAAACAATTTAAATGATTCAAATATAAACTCTAAATCTGTAGCTGATAGCATAAGATGTGATCTATTAGAAATGTAAAGCTAACATATTAAAATGGATTAAAGCAAAGTAAATGATCTAGCAGGAAATGAATATAATCTTTTCTAAAATGGGTAAATCAATTTTTTATCAATTTTATAGTTCATAAAATAAAAATAAGAAAACCTACCTGAAAAAAATAGAATCCTCAATAAAAAGTAATTAGAATCTCTTTTAATAAGAAATTCTGTATTATCATAAGCTGTTTGTTGCTATTTTGTAGACTACTTAATAGAAAAAGATAAAATTACTAAAAAAATATTTGAATGCATGCAGAGTAAAGCTTGTTAGTATTATTTAGAAATAGATTGGTATAAAGCATATGTTGATATAAAACCTTCTTTTGGTAACATAAATCCCTATCCTGAAATGAATATTAATGAAAAGACTTATTCTGCTTCTCTTAGAGAAATTTTTAGTTCTATATCAAGATATTATTATGACCCAGATACTAAAAATCCTTAGGAAATAAGATTTTTTTAAGCTTTATTGAAAGAAGCTATTAAATCAAGAGCCATTGGATTCTCTAGCAAATCGACTAAATTTTTATAAGTGACTCAAGGAGAGAGCTTACATACATTTAGCAGTCTAATTTAGTCAGTTAAGACATTCGAAAAAAACACTAATATCTCATGTTGCTATACTCTGCATAAACTTCTAGATACCCATTACTTAGAAAAAGGATTAGCAGATAATGAAAAGCTACCTTCTTGGATTCATTCTATAAATTTAATTAATGGAATTATATTAATTAGTGGAACTCCAGAAAAAAAAGATATTGGTAGCATATTAATTAAAATTATAGATTCCTCTAATTTCATAGTTAAAAGCTTTGAAATCCAAGTTCTTTAAAAATAAACAGAAAATAACGATGAGAAAATTATTTAAACATGTGGTGAAAATAATGGTTAACTATAAAATATTTAAAATACTTCAGATTAATCATAATTTAATCAGTAAAAAATATTTTAAAAAATGGGATTAAAGAAAGCTTCTACCTTTGCTAAAAATACTAATTTTGAAGTGTAATTATCTTAATTATATAAAATAAATGATAGTAATTAATTAAGTGGAGTAAGTTTTAATACTTCTCCAATAAATCACACTAAATATGTAGACTTAGATGAATAAAACTTATAATTTGATGAAGTATAAGAGATAGAATTAAAATCTATGAAAAGTGCATAACAAAACATTGAATAAAGAAAACCTCGGTTAGTTAAATGTTTAAAATAATCTGATTTTGCAATAAAAATGAACCAACAAGAAAATACGGAATTGACTCAAAATTCATTTTTGAGGCTGAATACAATAGAAAAATAATCATATGATTAATAATATTGAAAAAATTGAAAAATAATTTTAAGATATTCCTTGACTACTAGATAAATAACAAACTACTGAAAAAAGGCAATAAATTAATTCACATTTGAAAAATATCATACACAAAATAAAAACTAAAAGTAAGTCATAAACACCCTAATTGATTTAGTTGAAACTGGGTTTTTATCTCTATAAGTTCAAAATTTAATTACCATTAAACATCTCTTATATATAATAAATTTGATTATTATTGAAATAATATTTATTTAACAATAATTTAATAATATTTATTTTTTTAAAAAAATATTCATTTTTTCAGTACCATTAATTCATTAATTTTATTATTATAGCAATTAGTATATTTTTTTGGTTTTAAATAATTTTAATTAATCCAAAACTTTATTGAAAAATCCAATAAAAAATCCATGAAATTGAACAATAGTAATAGCTAAAAGAAAAATATTATTGATGCATAATTTATATAAAATTGTTGTTACAAATATAAATTAGTTTAAGCTTAAAAAAATAAAATGAATATTTTATATTTTCAATTTGAGCTTGAAATTATGGTTAATTAGTAAATATATAAATCAATATTTGTAAAATAATAAAAATTTAATTTACATTTTTAAAATGCTTTGAAACATTTACTATTTAAGACTTTTAGATATTTTTACTGAAATAAAATACCATCCAATTAATAAACTAATTAATTAATTATCTATCTCATTTAATTACATCGAAGCATATTAAAAATTTTGGATTTATTAATATGATGAATAATTATTTTCAAATAAAAATTGATTATTGCACTTATTATTTGACTGAATTAATGTTTGATTTTTATACTTACTGACTGACTGATTCAAACAAAGACCCATTAATTTATTGAAATGGATGTTTTATAAATAACAAATTTTATATAATTACATAAATTTTGATTATTATTTTTATCATTTGTTTGTTTGTTTGCTTGTTTGATTTGATTTGCTTTTTGTTGCACATTATTTTCATAAAAACTTAATATTTTTGTTAACAAAGTGAATAATTAGAAAAAGAGTGAAATAAATTTACTTAAAGGACTCATAAATATTTTAGGAAATGATTGAATAGTATAGCAGCATAGAGTCTGGAGATGGTTTCATATATTAAATATTTAAGAGCTTGTGGAAAGTTGATTCTGTTTTAAAGAAAAGTATTTTAAGTTTAAGAATTAAGCAGTTTAGATTTATAATTTAATTCTGCGAATACATTTATTATTAATTAATTAATTAATGATCATCATTTTTACTAATTTTTTTGATGTATTTAAGTTCTCCTTGTTAACATTCCAGATACAATCATGTTCTAAAATGGTGGGATATATTCTTGGTATTTCTCTATGGATAGCTAAGTTTATTTTAAGAAAAAATAAAATCTTGAAAAGGAGTAAATTTTAAATAAATTTAGCACCAATATTCCTCCTTGCGGGATTGTGGCCGTCTGGATTTATAAGCAAGAGATATAAAATGTTAGATAAAAAGGAGAATAGCAATATAGTTATCAATAAAATTCATCAACTAGATATAAATATAGCAGTTAAGAAGACTTTTCTCCAAAAAAATCTTTCTCTGATATGAGTTCAAAGGAAATCAATTCAAGTACTACGAGCAAGCTAATATATCAATACATGAATTTAGAATAGCTCAGTAAATTCTTAACAACTTTTATCTTTTAAAAAATACATTCAAACTTACTTAAAAAAAACTAAACTAACTTTAGATGAATTTCTCATAAAAGCCAGACCAGGAGAAATGATTGATGGAATTCTCTAAAAGTTCATTTAATCAAAAGGAGACAATAACTGTAAACAATTATAAAATGAATGAAAGTATTACAATTCACTAAGCAATAAATACTTCATTTTAATACATTTTATATTCAAATAAATTAAATTAAACTAATAGCTGTAATTCAAGTAACTTGGAATAGAGAGTTTTATTTGTCGCAGAAAATATCCAACCCAAACTAAATTAACGACACTAATCTCGATATATATTAACGTGTCATCACTTTTGAATCTGATAACTAGTCATTAACAACTGATTTAAAAGGACATGCGATCAACTCATATTTCTAAACAAAGATAGAAGAAATTGTTAAGCATGTTGAAAACACTTATGAAAAACCCATAACTATTTCTCTTTTCAAGGGTATTTTTAAAATTGATCCAAAGGGCAAGATATGGTTTCTTTAATGCAAAACTTTATCAGTTTGCCAAAAGATGAATTAAGAATACAAAACTTTAAAAGAAACATCTAAGAGTTTGCCATTCATTGAAACAGATGTAAATTAAATCACTTAAAAAATTAAAAAATATAATTCTAAATTTAATTAATGCAATTTGATTTCAAAATAACTTTGTTGTTGAGAATTTTTTGAGAATTAAAATTTGAGAAAAAGTTACAAAAATCATTTTAAGCTTATTAAAAATATTGCTTATGTAAAAATTAAATAGATTCCAAGCTACATAAGTAAGGTGAAAAGTGCTATAGGAAAAGGTATTGATTTACAGTCAAAGGAAATATGCAAAAAATGTTTGGAAGAAGTAGAATTGAATGGAATGTACATGGTTGAGTATGATCATATTATAAAGAGTTGGTAATTTGATCATGTTGGAGAAAAAGAAAAGAAAAAGGAATAAAGCGAATAAAAATATTTAGAAGAGAGGGAAAAATTAGAGAAAATGTATAAATTATTAGATAAACTTGATTTAGATGTTCCACAAGACTTCCCAAAAATAACTGATTAAGATGAAAAGAGATTTGATGTAAATCCAAACTATATTATACCAAGAGTAATAAGAAATTAAGAGCCAGAATTATCAGAAGAGTAATATCTTTCTTTAGTCAACAATCCCGGTTTCCGTTCTAGAGCAGCTCTTATTTGTGAAAACTGTTGTCTCCACATAATGAACAGTATAAACTGGAAAGAAAACCCATCAAAGCTAAAGATAAAAGCTCTAAATGATAAAAAGTACTTTGGTGTAGGAGAATTAAAGCCAGAGACTATTATAGCAAGATATAATGTATTTATTATTTATTTTTTTAAATAGATTTTTAATTTTCAAAATTAATTGTTCGTTCAATAATTTTTGACAAGAATACTATAAATAAAAATAACAAAAATAATTCTAAAAAAGAAAAATAATATTTTCTTTCAGGATAAACATTTTCCACATAAATATTAAATCAAATTTAATCAATTAAAGAACTAATTATTTAAATATTTATTTAACTAAAGAAAACGAGAAAACAAGTAGAACTTAAAAAAATTTTTGAGGAAGAATTAAATCCTAATTCAGTTAATAAGGAGATCATGATGAGATTTAAAAGAATGGATGCTAACTCTAATCCACCTGAAGAAAGAACAGATTTTCCTTTAAGGATGACAGATATTTTTAGTAGAACAGGAATAAAATAAAACAGAAGACACTAACAGTATTTATCTGGATTAGGTATTTCTGAAATAAGCTCTTATTAATCTAAATTAGCTGATTAAAGGGAGCAAAAGCTATCGTTTTTAACAAATCCGCCATAACTAAATACGCCTTCAACTGTTTTTGATGTATTTCTATTTAATTTTTATTGATAACATTTTTTCTAAAATTAAAATGATATTTTCATTTACAGTTTTTAATTTTTCTTTTATCAAAAGGAATAAGCAAATTCTAAAATGAGTCAAGTAAATACAAGTTAATTTGCTCAAAAAAATTCTGTTAGTACCTGCTGTTTGAGCCCTCATTCTGCAATTGGTATTATACAAGATCATGGTGTATTTAATGAGTCTATTAAGATTTATGCCAAAACTCTTAGCAAGAATAGTCTTTAAAAGTTTTTAATTCCTATTGACAATCGTTTTAAAGCTTCAAAGGAAAAAAATGAAAGTTAGTAAAAGAAGTTTAAAAGCAAGATAAATAATAACAATTTTAGCACTTAAGAAAACAATGAATCAACACTGACATAAACTTTAAAACCTTTAAAACATGTTTCGTTACACAAACTCCAAAATTCAAATAAAATTGTCACAAATTAGACCCAACCAGGAACTCTGTAAATTTTAACTGACAGAAGCCCTACTTCTGAATATTTTGAATCTATTTTAACTTCTAGAAGCAAAGATAAAAAAGAAAATACCTTCAAATAAAGCAGTGATAAGAAAACAAAATAATAAAAAAGATCTTAAAATAATTCTTGCATTGATGCACTTTCAAAAGTGAGCGAAAACTAATCTAAATTACAAGAAAATAAATAAAAAGCTGTTGAAAGTCACTCAAAAGAGCACTATTCCCAACTAAAAATACAAGAATCTTAATAAAAAGTATTGGAACCTCTATTATAATTACATGAATCAGATATAGATGATAATGAGAAATTGTAAAAATTAAGATAAAATTAAAAATAAAAACCTAAAAAAAATTTGAATTCTTTTCATAACAATTTCTAAGCATATTTAACTTCAATTGTGTTACCAAATAGTTCAAAAGGTAAAAAAACAATTAATATTTAACAAAATCATTTTAAATCTCAAAGTGTTTAGATTCCAAAACTAAATGAATGAAAAATAAATAAATAAATGAGTGGGCAAGCATTATTTTAAAAATTTAATTACAATATTAACATACATTATCAATTATTATATTTGAATGAATGAAGCTGTATATAATTCCTCTATTTATTAATTATATATTATTAGCTAACATTTTTAAACTTGACTTTATTCAAATAAGATTTTAAAATATTTTTCTCAGAGAAATAAATGAGTGAGTGATAGCATTATATAAATAAATTAATTGCATACATAAAATAAATTATTGATTATTTTTATGAACTAATTAAGGTGTTTATATATCATTATCAATCAAATAATTCATATTCAAAGAGGTTAATAAAATATTTTTCAATTTTAATAATTTTATAGACGTTTATTTCCATGTTTTTGGTTAACTATTTTATATCAAAATACTTATGAAGCTTAAAATATCTAGAAATTATTATTATTGAGAGTGTTTTTATAAACTTAAGCTGCTAAAAAATATTAGAAATAAATCTGATTCCCTTTTTTTATCAATTAATTATTTGATTTACATAATTTTATATTGAAATGTTTAAAAGCTTGGTTTATAAAACATTGAGAACATTTAAAGATTACCCTAAATAAAGGGACCATGTCATTAAGGGGTTTTCTGTAAAAAAGAATTTTAGAATTACTTTTGTTGATAATACGACTTCTTTACAAACTTCAGTTGTAAGTTCTTCATTTTTAGGAAATGTTATTATTGTATTTCATAAAAAATTGATAGGACAAGTTTAAATTAAAAGAAGAAAGATAAATTAATCTTTTAGGTAATTGCTTCAGCACAAGCTTGATGATATCTTCCCTCTTGAAGGTAGAATTTATAGAACTTATAATGAATCATATATTTTTTTTTTTTTAGGGAGAAGAAAGAATCAAAGCTATTGTTTCTTTTGATGACTAAGATAAAAACTCATATGATTTTTATGCAGAATCAATGGCAAATGGAGAAATCAGAGGATTTTCTATCAAATATTAAAGCCCTAATCAACAATTTACTCCTTTCTTTAAAGTTGGAAAGGTAACTAATAAGTAGCATTTAAGATAATTACATGAGAATTCATTAAATAATTAAATATTAGGTTTTATATGGATATTAACAAGAGTCTTTCAGTGTACTTAGTTTAGATTATAACGAGTAATAAGATTGGGTTAATTTTTCTGGAAAGTAGGTCTAAGAATTCTACCAAATATCAGATTAAATTCTAAATTTATGTGATCTTTACACTAAATCAAAAGATTCTAAGTAAATTTTATTTATTTAATAATTCAATTTAAATACATATTGCTTGTTATTAAAGAGTTGAAAGATCATTTGGATACATGTTATAAAAAATGCCTGAAGCTCAAGAAGCTTATTTAGAGGCATTACACGAAGATATAATAAACTCAGAAATATTCAAATAGATGAAATATCAATGTAAAATATATTATTTTATTTTATTTTACAATTATATCATAATAAATTAGAAATGAATTTTAGCTAAGTTAAAGAGTTGCTTGAGAAATAATTTAATATTGATGATATCTAACTTACACGTTATCCAGTTGACTTTTACTGTAGATGTTGTAAGGAAAATTTTATGCAATTACTTGTAAAGATAGGGTCAGAAACTTTAGCTGATATGAAATAAAAGAATGATAGAACTTTAAATTGCATCTATTGTAATACAAACTATACAATAGAAGATTAGGATTTTGAATAGCTAATTAAAGAATCTACAGAAATAGAAGCTAAGCAGAAAGCATAATAAACAATTGTATAAAATGAACAAAATACACCACCTAAATAATGAAAAATTCATCAAATATTTATTTTATTTAAAAAGAGAAAAAAAAAGCATTTTTAATATAACTAAAAATAGTTAAAATTTTATCTATATGATTATTTTGTAAGTAAGTATTGGATTTTTATTAAACCACTTATTTATTTAAATCTTACTTTTCTGAAGCTTTCTATTTCAAAATATCTTTCTATATTTTATGAAAAGCTAATTAATTATAAAACTGAAATAATTTCTTTATTAAATCTGTTATAAATGCATAAAAAATGGATTCAATTGTTATAAAATCACACTTACTTATTAATGAAAAAAATATTTTTATTTTCTAATTTTAAAATTTCTCATAAAAATTATATTCCAAGTTATAAATTTAAATTCAGTTTAACAATTATATTGATTTATTATTACTTTTTATTATAATAATTACTATCTAAACTCATTAATTATCCTTAGCCCACCTCAAAATAAAAAAAATATTTCTTTAAATTCTAAATAATTTATATTTTTAGTGATTAAACAATGAATCTAGTTTAAAAGGATGAATAACCACAGTTTATTATTAAATATTTAATTGAAATAAGATATTATTTTTATGATTTACGATTATTTACAATAGAAATGAGCATATTAAAGGAACTCTGCCATCTTAAAAAGAATAATTAATCATTAAAATATAAATAATAATTAAGATTATAATAATATATTTATTAATTTAAATGTTTTTTGTGTTAATTTAATTTAATTATTAATTCTGATCAAATAGTTTTTTTACATCTTAACATCAATAATTATGTTCTAATATCTATTTTACATAAATATACTTACTTACAATATTATTTGTTTTCTATTTTAGATGGAGATTTATTAAATAGTCGTTTATTTGCTTATTGTATGTAAAAGGTTAAGAAAAAAACTTAGAAAAGTAAATTAGATTATCTAGTTTTTGAATTTAATGAGTATCATTGCTTTGATTAAAGTTATTTAAGTAAAAAAGAAAAATATACTAAAAATAGCTAATTTTTTAGTTAGATTAGACTGGAAATATATTGTTTTTTACATTAAAAAACTCTAAAATTTTATATTAAAAATGAGATAGATTTGAATGACAGCTATTTCATGATAAATCAGTCGATATTATTTTTCAAATCAAATTATAATTAATTTATTATAATCAGAGTTAGTCAGCCTTTTTTTATTTTAATTCTCATTTTTCTATTAACTCTATATCTTCCTCTAATTTAAAACTAAAAAAGCAAAAAATTTTAATATAAATAATTTTTTTGTAATTAAAGATAAAAGAAACAATCAAAGCATAAATAGAATACATACAAATAAATTTACCTATAATTGCTTTAAAAAATATGATTATTTAAGTTGTATTTAACAGTTCTTTCAAGCATCAAAATGTTGATAACAACTAATTCTCTATTGATGTTGATGCTAATTAGACTGTTTCGAATTTAAAGACCCTCATTTCTTTAAAATTCACAGATCTTGACCCAGAGTTTTTCGAATTAAAGTAAGGTACAAAAACTCTCAAAGAAGAAATAATTTGCTTGAATCTCTAATAGAGTGAAGGTTCTCCTATAATTGTCACTGTTTTTAACTCAACAAGAACTTGTTGCACTATCTTTTGATAAAAAATATTGTGAAAACAACCTCACACAGACGAATTTAAAATATAAGCTCTAATATAATAACTAAAAACATATTAAAATTGAAAATAAATAAATTTAAATTACTTGCCATAATAAGATATTTACAAAATCAAAATTATATAAAAACTAATATAATCAAAATACAATAATTTATTCTTAAAATATTTCTTGAATATAAGTAAATTTTTACTTTTTAATTCATCATTTCATATAACCCTTATATATATTTCACACACTAGACTATTTAGTTGTATGCTTATAAAACTAACTGTTTAAAAAAACATGAAATAATCTATTTGCAAATGACTATTCAAAATTAGAAATTCTTTAAATTTTACAATTTTATTGATTTAACTTAATATTAGATTAATTAAAATCTATTTTTTATAATTTTTTTCATTTTTTGCATGTTTAAAAATATTTCATTTATTATATTTTTAAGTTTGAATACAAAAAATTGATGATTTATATATGGTATAAATAATTGTTTTAATTAAAAGTAAATTTCTTTTTAATATAATCAAACAATTTTGTTATCTTTTGTGCAAGCAATAAACTTAAACATCTTTTTACTCCTTTTATTTCCTATAGTTAATCTTAACTCTAAAATTATATCTTATGTTTCTCTAATAATGTATTTAACATTTTTATGAAGTTTTATTTATCTCATTTAAATTAGCAATCTTATAAGAACCACTCCTTTAATTTTTATTTAAATAAAATAACTAATTATACCTAATTATATTTATCTACTTTGTTAGTTCAAAAATGTTTATAAAATACCTACCAAATTTAACTCAAAATTATATTTTTACAAATAAACTCTTCTAATTTTAAATCAATATATTTAATAATAAATGTTCCACGATTGATTTTAATATCCCCGCAAAGCTCTAAATACCTAATTGTTAGTTATATTTTCTTAATAAATTAATTTTGTGCTATATTTACATTATATTTTGTGTTTTCAACTACAGTAATACCAAATAATCAATCTATTATAAATTTCTTTTCTATAAAAATAAATTTATCTCCTAAATATATTAAAACAATTCATTTCATTAGTTTATTTAGAAGTAAATATTAAGATTTTTATATGCTGGATATTATTTGTATAAAATATTTAGCTATGAAATAGCTAATGATAAATAAAAATATACTGAGAGAATTTGCTTTGAATTTTTTACCAATAAAACATTTAATTCATGGTGGTAAGAGGTTCAGAACATATAAAAAAATTACTGCATTAATTTAAATTATTATTAATATTATAATAAAAGCTAGTTCCTTGTTTTTAATTTTAAGTATTATTCTTTTTAAAATAAAATACTGATTTAATTAAAATAAGTAATTAACTATAAATAGATATTAAAAATGCTAATTATTCTATTCATTCAAATATTTAATTACAAGCTTAATACTAATTTTAGCATTTGTATTTTTTCAATCCATATTTCTTCAAAAATTTTTAACTTTTTTTTTATTAAAGCAAAAAAATTAGTTTGATTTTCATTAATCTTTATTAGTAAGTAAAACTTCAATAAAATTTTCAATTAAAGAAGCTACTCTTTATTTAATATATCTAAAAATATGTTTTAGAATGTTTATTTTTTCCAGATGAAAATGAATTTTCTAATAAATAAAATTGATACATTTTACTCAAAAAGAGATGCAAATTTTTAGTTAAAATTCTCTTCTTTACATTTAAAATTCAATTAGAATAAATGAATTTGGGAATAGATATGAATAGAAAGATCAACATTCATTAGTCAATCTACAATTTTCTAATTAAAATAGAACGAATAAGTAGATGTTATTTTTCATTAATTTTTTTAAATAAATTTAATAATAGTTCTGTGGCAGATAATTTGTATTTAATTGTTAATTATATAAAGATCTATTTTTATATTTATTTGTATATTAAAAAAGGGTTCAAAAGTTAAAGATTTAGTTTTAAAGTAAGATGATAATCACTCTTAAATTTGATAGCAGATCTAAGCCTTCAACCGCTAATTGCAACTCTTTTTAATTAGATATAGATGCAAATGATTCAATAGAAAACTTGAAGGCTTTAATAAGTCTTCGCTATTCAGATTTAGATCCTGATAATTTTGATTTATACTACAAGGGATAATTTATTAAAACCAATCATAAATGCATATATATTTAAGAAGTTTTACATACAACTGAGCTGGAGATAGTTGCTAATAGTAGAATGACTGACTGCTGCAGATTAATATGAATAGTATTATCAAAATTATGAATATTACATATTTAAATCAAAATTATAATTTCATAGATTATTTATTGTAGTAGAAAAAGAAACATTTTTTAAATGTAAAATTATTATTCCAAATGCTGTTCAATTAGTTAGGAAATAATAAGAACGAACTCATTCATCTTATTTTATTTTTGTTTGAATACCATTTGTTTTAATTGAAAATTCTTAATAATTGGGTAAAATGATGAAATCTATAATATCTAAAATCAAATTTGCATTTATTTTACAATAATAATAAATAATATATTAATGAAAATACAAAAGAATCTAAATAAATGTTTTCAGAATAGTTAAACTATTTTGTGAACAAATATCTATCTATCTATCTTTAAAAATTTTATCTATATTAACAATGACTTATTAATTAATTATTTCTTTTGTAAGCATTAGTATAAAGAGATTAAATTTAAATATAAAGAAAGGCATTAACTGATTAATTAATTTTGCGTTTATAGCCATCTATCTATTCATATATTATATTAAGATGATTTTATATTGTATTTTTAGAGCGATTTTTTAAAAGTATTTTTAGAATATTTATGAAAAAACATTATATTACTCTTTTAAAAAATATTTCTTTTAATAGTCATTCATCTTAATTTAACTTCTCAAATTAAAAATTAACTTTTTGAATAAAGTTTATTTGCTTTTTTATTAACAATTTTTTTTAAAAGGATCAATTTATTGTTAACAATAGATATTTTTTGAATTAAGTGATAATAAGTGGTACACATAAAATTTAACAAACTTACTATGACTTTGGATACTCTTATTGATATTATAATATATATATTTTAAAGGTAGTTTTAGCAATTAATTTAAATTAAATTAAAACTACTTGTACACATAATCTTTGTTTAGTCAGTTTATTATTGATAAGGAATAAATATTTAGGAAATCATATATATTAATATTTTTCAAATCAAAAGAAGAAAGGGCTATTTATTTACTCTTCAAAAATCCATTTTTTAGTAAAGAAATACAAAAACTTAAATGATTGTAAATGGAAAGAGTGAATAGAGTACCAAACGATATAAATAAACCCAGTTATGTAGACTAGTGAAATAGGATAATTAGGAATATGAACCCTCCTCCTTTATCCCCCGAAATTAAACAAAATTAGTATTAAAGGGATTTTATTTGAGTTTACATTTTTAAAAAAGCACTATTTTATGTTAAAGTAATTGATAATTAGATTTGATTGACAAATTTATTTTTGTACTAATATTTTTTTAAGTAAGAAATAACTAGAATGCTAACTATTTGCTATTAAGGTATATATATATATATTTAAATTTGGTAAAT